AATTCTTTAAAGGATTGGAGTACCTGGTCTTTAGACTTCAACAAATATACCCACACTTAGCGGAAATGATCATCAATGAATGAAATAAAGTATTGAGCTCCTCCAAGGGATCTTTCCGACATGGAGCAGACATCAATATGGACGAGGTCAAGAATATACCTGCGTCGTCTGGGTTGATCCGGTCTCACAAAAGAAACTCAGTGCTGCTTTTCAGCTAGGCAGTACGTGCAACTCTCCAACGCTTGACCTTTCAACCTGGTCAGTGATCCTTTCTTGTTCAGGATCTGGAGCCCTTTCTCGCTCATGTGGCCGAGGCGCTTGTGCCATAGCTCCAAGCTAGGTTCATCTCGGACAGAATTGGCTTCTCCGCCATTGATTTTTCCTTGCATCACGTACAAGGAGCCTTCCTTCTTACCTCAAGTCACGACCAAGTTTCCCTTAGCCAGGTTTCATCTAACACTACCGAAGTAGTTCACTGACCCGACATCGTCAAGTTTGCCTACCGAGATTAGGTTCAATCGCATGTCAGGTACATGCCTCACATCCTTCAACACAAGTCGGCATCCAACATATGTGGTCAGGGTTACATCACTGACATCAAAAATCTTACTAGTCACTAGATTTCCCATCTTCACGATTCCAAAATCACCACCTCGGTAAGAGGAGAAAAAACCTTTGTGTGGAGTAATGTGGAAGGAGGCACCAGAGTCAACAATCCAGGTGCAGTCATCATATGCAACATTCAAATAATTATCCTCACCTAGGAGGAATATCTCGACATTCGAGTTGGCAGCCACCGCAGTGGTGCTCTTGTCTTCCCTCTTCTTGGGAATAATCTGATCCGGCTTCACAGAGCTGCTCTTCTCGTCATTCTACAGGGTCAAGCAGTCTGGCTTCTTATGGCCTGTCTTTCCACAGTAAAAGCACTTCAACTTATATCTCGACTTTGACTGACCTCTGGACTTTCCTCTTCTATCACGATCTCGACCACGGCTTTTGCTTCTACCCCGGGAGTCGGATTTCCCTTTGTTCTCAGCAACGTTGGCCTCAGACGTGCTCGAAATACCTCGTTCTCTTCTCCTGGCTTCTTCACCCAAGAGGCTGTCTGTCACAACATTCATCTTCAATTTTCCATCTGGGGTTGAATTATTCAAGGTCACCACCAGAGTATCCCAGCTTTCTGGTAGCGAGCTCAACAGCAGCAAGGCCTACATCTCATCATCAATTTTTATCTCAACCTTTGACAGCGGATTCACAATACCTTTGTAGGTGTTGAGGTGTTCAATCATACTCATGTCGTCCTTGTATTCAAGCTTCACAACTCGGCGAACCAGGTGTGCTTTGTTCCTGAGAGTCTTCTTCTGAATCATGAACTCCAACTTCGTCCACAACTCGTACGCGTTTGTAAACTCAGACACGTGCTCAAAGAGGCTTTTGTCAATATATTTTCTTATCGTAGCTACCGCCTTACGACTCTGAATCTCCCACTCCTTATCGGTTTTTCCTTCCAGTCTCTTTTCAAGGGTAATGGGCTCATATAAATATTTGCAGTAGAGATGATCTTCCATCATCGGTCTCCAATAGGTGAAATTGTCTGCGGTCAGCTTGAACATGTCTCCATCATTGGTTATGCCACTGGTCTCCATCTTGTCTCCCTTAGAACCCGTCGAACTCGGACTTCGATACCACTGTTGGGATCGGCTAAGCAGCCTTTTTGCGGAAGTCAATCAACAAGATCCTGATCTCAGATCTCGGCAATACCTCGGCCTGAACTACACCAGGTCGGGCAGCGCAACGGAAAATCAAAACAAAAACGGGAGAGAGAGAGAGAGAGAAGGAGAGAGAGAGAGAGAAGACAAGCAGTTTTAACGTGGGAAAACCTTCTCCAATGAAGAAGTAAAAACCCACGGGACCTAGTCCAGATCAAAAATCCACTATGAAAATAATGGTTACAAATAATCAGAATCACCAATGTGGTGGTTAACTCAACCTCTCCAACAATGGTGATAATCAAACCTCCCTAGAGATGTTTCACTCAAACTCTCTCTAGAGATCTCTCAAATACAAAGCATAAAGCTTTGCTCAAACAATTTTCTCTCAAATTTCTAATCTCTCTTTTAATCTCTTAACCTAGCCTCCACCCTCAACTAATGAATGTATAGAGGAGGTGAGATCTAGGGTTTAGGGTTTTTAGGAAACCCCTCCATGGGCTTGGGCTTAGCATTGAAGGAGGAAGCCCAACAAATATGATGGTCCCTTCGAGGAATTCTATATAGAGTCTGGTATTATACACCAGACAACAGTTCCATATTCACCGCAATCAAATGAGATTGCATAAAGAAAAAATCGAACGTTGAAATAAATGATGAACGCTATGTTAATCACGTCTGGTTTGTGGAACCAATGCATTCAATGTAAATATCATGAAGGTTCAAGAATTTTGATGATAACAAACAAGCATGTAAAAAAAGCTTAAAGTGCAACCATCAAAAAGAAATTTAAAGAAGATCAAGACTCAAGCTTCAAGAGAAGACTCCAAGTCCAAGTAACCTCAAAGTAATATATCTTAGGACTTAGGATTATTTGAAAGGAAAGTGATCTCTTACATGAACAAAGCTCAAAGCTTTTTTTTTTCAAATACATGCATTAAATCATCGTTTGACATTTAAATTCAATCCTAGCATGAAAATCTATTTTTAAATGTTTATCAAATGATTAAAAGTATTTGAAATTAACTTAGATAATGAGAAAACCATTTTAGGCGAAAATAATTTATTTATGCTTCATTAACAAAAATTACGGAACCTCATCTGTCAAATTTGCAGCCAAACAGCCCAATTATTCAAACCAGTGTTCATGCCATACCAAACCAATAAGCCGTAAAAGATAAACTTGATATAATTCATATATATATATATATATATATATATATATATATATATATATATATATATATCAGAGAGGATATTCTAACTACAAAAAATTCTCATTACTAACTTACTATTCATCACATCACATCACATCATATTACTATTGGATCAAAGATATAGAATGTTAAAAAGTTTTTGAAGAGAGAAAAAATATTAATCTAATGATGATTAGATAAGTAATAAGTTGATAGTAAAAAATTTTAGTAGTTAAAATATCCATCCTCTATAACATAAATACATATTTGTGTGAGCCCGTGTTTATTTAAGTGGTCTAAATATCTAAAAAGATCGAAGACCATGTCATGTAAAATGTCAACTAAGAAAACGATGCACGTGGCAACCACTTTTAAATTTCATTTCCTAGACAATAGTTGTGAAGTCACAAACATACAGGAGACCTTAACGTTGAACTTCCTGTGGCTTGTAAATAAATAATTGTGTACAATAGAGTTATATTATTAAAAAAGTCACCTAAGGCGATGGGCATTTTGGCTGAGCATAATTTTCGGTCATGGACTATGCGTAAGTGAGCCAATGGTTATGGAAGTGCTTGGGATCCTTGATTTTTTTTGTAATTTGGATCTTCTACACATTACCAAAAAAGGGGAAGTGTTTGGGAATTTGAGAAAAAAATATACAATTTTTATTATTTCTTAATAAAAAAATCTTAAAATGTAAAATATATCACGAGGTTGCTAATTTGCAATATGAGAAATGTTAATTTGAACGTACATTGTAATTGTAATTGGGTTGATGGGTTGGATCAACTCTAATATCTTTCTATTTTCGCTCATTCAGATGAATTGGGGCAAGACCAACATTGTTGCTGATACAGCCCCAAAAAAAAGCCAACACTATTGGATGCATGTTGAACAATCACACCTGTAATTAGGGGTGTAAATGGGTTAGACCGGCCTACCTGAGCTTATGGCTCGGCCTATATTAAGTCAGACTTGGTCTATTACTAATAGTAAAATATAATAGGCCTAGGCTTTTAAAAAAATTTATTTAGAAAATAGGTCATAGACTTTTTTTGTACATGTCGGGCCTATAAGCCTACAGACCGGTCTATATTATATTATTTATTTTAAATAAAATCATTATTTTAATAATTTTAAATAATAAAGTAATATTATTTTAATTATTCTTTAATTGTTGAATGTTTAATATGCTTAAATAGGCTAATAGGCCTAGGCCAAAATAAAACAGGCCAAGCTATACTCAATATTTTTTTATACAGGCCTGACCTATTTAACCTAAAGTCTGGTCTATTTACACCCTTACATGTAACGTGACTATTTATTTTTTTTTGGGAGGGGGGAATCCACCTGTTTTTTTTTTTCTTTTCATTTATTGTCATTATCGTTGGCTTTCCTACACATAATTATATCCTTGAAGAGGAAAATTTCCTTGTTTTTAAAGTTTTTTTTATTATATTTGTCCTTTTTTAAGAAGTTGGTGGGCAGATAATAATCAAATTTATAAAGTATTCATTCACTCACCCCGACTCCGCAGAGACACAATTATTTGTAATATTTTCGCTATCTTTTAGTAGTTTGTACATTATATATCATAGCAACTTACTTAGCATATTCCTCATATTTTTCTGCAGATGAAGTCAGTTTCAGTTTGGTGTTGTTGATTTATTTGAATTAAAGAATCCCTTATATCTTGAAAGAAGGGCCATCCATCATTTTCACAACCCCATAGTCACGCTGGGCTGAACTTCTTAGGAACACGTAACGCATAAAATACTTAAGGTGTTACTTCATGGTTTGTTTTGAACCTTGCATTTGTTTTAATAAAGACAAATCAATCATTGCTGATGGCTACCATTAATGAAAATATCGAAATATCACCATCAAAGTAACATGATTCCTCCCATGTTCCTTTTCACATTTATATTCCATGATAATGAAGTTTCTTCAAGCATTAATTCATACATTTTAATATTCGTTTTCGACCATGAATGATGATAATGCAAACACAAAAACCTCGATGTTTATTAGATAAGCTCTTTGTCTTGAACATAAGTTGCTGATGCCTTGTTGATTTCTGCTGCAAAGCGACATGGGAAGTGATCGTTTTTCTCTCACAGCTTTCAATTTCAATAGATTCCAGGACGGTAACGGTTCTATACAAGAGGAAGTTGTGTTCCACAGGGAACACAGTACCTTTGCAATAATGAAGTTAATGGGAGTAATCAACCCTCTTCCTACTACTGAACATGAGAACGAAGCCCATTGCTTCAAAGAGCAAAACCAGCAGCAGAAACATGATTCCGAATTTTACAACTTCATGTTACAAGAGTTCAATTTTGGACCTGCTTTGCAATTACAACCAAAACATCCATCTCAAGAAACTAAGGAGCTAAATAACCAGGGAGTGTCAAGTTCACAGCTTGTTGGACACAATAAGCAGGTGCCACCATCTTCTCTAGCATCATTGGAGCTCCTGAGAAATTACAGAAACAGGTTCAAGAGGCTAAGGGGGGAAAATATAAACAGTACTGAAATTTCAGTGAGTCCTCCTCAGAAGTTGTCAACTGAAGAAATAATAAGAGCTGCTGCAGCAAGGTATATCCAGCACCCTGCACAATGGGACAACAATTTTTGTGTTCCTATGCACCCTTATGGATTTGGTCTCGGAGGTTTGTCTGAGGAAGAAAATAGAGACGTTGAACTTGCTCACTTTCTTCTGGCAGTAGCTGACAGAGTAGGCTGCCAACAATTTGAACGTGCAAGCGTGTTACTTTTCCATTCTCCATGGAATTCATCAGATGGTGGAAACTCTCTTCAGAGAGTTATATTTCATTTTGCTAAAGCACTCCGAGAAAGAATCAACAAGGAAATAGGGGGAAGGATGACATTAAAGGGATGTGAGAAAAATAAAGAAAGGGAAATGATTCAGAATTTGGAATTGGATACTAACATGGCCATTACATGCCATCAAAAAATTCCTTTCAATCAAGTAATGCAGTTCGCTGGTGTACAGGCTATAGTGGAACATGTTGCATCCCAAACCAAAATCCATGTGATAGATCTTATTATCGGATGTGGGGTGATGTGCACAGCTTTGATGCAAGCACTGGCAGAGCGAAAGGAAAGGCCAGTTGAGCTTCTTAAGATAACTGCCATTGGTCTTAAAGGCAAGATTGAGCTAGAAGAGACAGGAAAAAGGTTAGTGAGTTTTGCTGAATCCTTGAACTTGCCCTTTTTATATAAGGTCGTTTTTGTTACAGACATCATAGATATCAACGAAGATCAGTTTGAAATCGATGATGATGAAGCTGTGGCTATCTACTCTCCATATATACTGAGGACTATGGTATCAAGTTCTGATTCCTTGGACAACTTGATGCGGGTGATAAGAAAAATCAGACCATGTATAATGATAGTCCTTGAATTGGAAGCAAACCATAATTCACCCTCCTTTGTGAATCGCTTCATCGAAGCATTTTTCTTCTTCTCCGCTTATTTTGACTGCGTTGAAACCTGCCTAAACGAGGATTATGAGTGCAGAATGAAAATCGAAGCAATATTATCTGAAGGGATACGAAACATTGTTGCTATGGAAGAGGGAGAAAGGAAAGTTAGGAATGTAAAGATAGATGTTTGGAGAAGGTTCTTTGCAAGGTACAGAATGGTGGAAACTGGATTTAGCGAGTCATCTTTGTACCAAGCTTACTTGGTTGTCAAAAAGTTTGCTTGTGGGAATTTCTGCACTCTAGACCAAAACGGGAAGTGTCTTATAATTGGTTGGAAGGGTAGCCCAATTCATTCAATCTCAGCTTGGAAGTTTCTTTAAGATTGTTTTATAGGGCCTGGGGAGATTATATAGATAACTTCATTCAATTGTTTAAAATTCCCCTTCATGGCTTGTTTAATCTATGTATTCTGAATATCAGGGAAACTGTACTCTTATATAGCTTTAATCGGATTGAAATCTTTAGTTTCATCAACAAAACTTTGCATTATATAATAAAACGATGAAAATTAATAATCAAACCATAATAAAATAAAATAAAATTACAGGATATGAATGTTATTGCAGCTCTTCACAAGCATTATTAGTTACAAACAGAGCGTTTTTTTTGGACTTTGGTTTTGTCCTGTGACAGAAATAATTTTTTTTTTCCTTAAAAGAAAACGACAAACTAGATGATAATAAAGAAAATGAAAAATGCATTGAATTCAAAGATTTGTGTTGTCGGTAGTGGTTGCATGATGTCAATTTTTTTCATGTAATATCTCTTCTTTTTTTTTGGGTCTGCCTATTGTTTCTTTTCTACGTTCGTTGTCTAGAAGAATGCTTAATCGAAACACTGTCGTCTGCCACGTTTGTCAAAAAAATTTACCAGACTGCCACGTCGATAGTAAATTTTTTCAAAATGCCACGCGGTATATTTCGTTTTACTATGTAGCGAAATATGTTTGCATGTAATTCGCTACACAGTGTAGCGAAATATGCCATGTCAGGCTGCACAGTCAGCAAAAATGACACGTGTCAAGCAGATAGAATCCAAGCATAATTCGCTACACAGTCAGCGAAATATGCCACACAGTGTAGCGAAATATGAACCACCCCAACAAGTTTGCGTGTAAGATATCCAGCATAAGACTGCACAGTCAGCAAAAATGACACGTGTTAAGCAGACAGAATCCAAACATAATTCGCTACACAGTCAACGAAATATGCTGCGTGTCATTTTGAAAAAATTTACTCTTGACGTGACTGGTAAATTTTTTTTGCCAGGCGTGACAAAATGATCACTTAGAACCTTTTTCCTCGTGGGCTCGTGGCCCAAAGATCCGTGTACTAATTCTTCCAAGTCCATATGCCCAACAAACCCACTTCCCCCCCAGCTCTAGAAACTGAACAGTAGAAGTTGTTGCTTGTGTTCATACTTTCTTCGTAATTTTTTTTTTCTCTTTTTAATTTTGAAATATACTACTCATACGTTAATTGGATCATTGTTTTGTTATGAATTCCAAACCCACACCGCACCGTTGCAGGACACATTTTTAACTTGTTCCGTATGAAGGTGCCCACGGGTTAGGTTGAGTGAATGCTTAACATGATACCAAGTTGTATATGTACCAACACACTTGGCTTTGGCGCTAGACAAATCATTTTTTGGCACAGTGGAAAAAACAAAGGTATTAAATTATTCCTAAAGCATCAGGCATGGCCCATGAGAAAAAAAGACAATAAGCCAAGGGGAGGATCCGTCCAAACGACCAAATCTCAAGGTGATTAGCTCCCATAGTTAATGGAGCGAGAATGCGTGTGTTTGCAGTAACATAAAATATAATGAAAGAAAACAGTGGCCCTCGATGGTGCGTGCGTGGTGCGTACAACTAATGAGGCACAGTAAACGACAACATACATTGTGTTGCGTTTTAGGCCATGTCACTGCCTACGCCAAACATGTCAAAAGCGTTAATTCCTCTTCTTTATTACAAAACACACTTAGAAAGAGACTCGAGTTGAGAGCGAGTGTCTTTTCTCTCTCGTTCTTGTTCTCGTTCTTCTTCATTATCATCATCCTTTGATCAACTTGCTCTGCTCCTCACACAGCACAGAAGAACATCCATGGTGTCCAAACCTACCGACTCTGCTCCCAAACTTCGAGTCAGTTTCTTTTCCCATAACCTCTTTCTTCAATTCGACAATAACTAATGACAACTCGGTTAGGTGCTTCAATTAGTTTTTTCTGATTCCTCGGAATCGCTTTCGTAACTATGTTTTTCACAATTCGATTATTACCTACCTAGAATCTTGAATTTAATCGGATGAATAGTCACGAGCTGATTTAAGAGCTCTCTGTTCCTCTATCTCTCTTTCTGTACTTGATTGCGGAATACTGCAGCAATTGAATTCACGAGTAGGGAATTCCGATTACTTTCAATCTTGAGTTTGGGTCTGTCTTTGGTTGCCGATAATTCCTTTTAAGATCGATACATAGTTCATAGTTACTCTGCTGCATCGCATGATAATTTAACTTTTACATTCGTTACATACGGAGGATTTTGTTTCCGGACTTAATTTTTTTGTATTTTAAATGTTTGTAACTCTGTTTTTTGATTTTTGAAGCAATATGTTAGTGTTTTGTTGTACAATGTTGACAGAAACAATATGGGGAGTCAGCAAATGATGCTGTTGGAACCTTGTCCATCAAGATAAATCAGTTGAAAAAGCAAATCCAGGCGGAGAGAATTGTATCAATTAAAGTAAGTTTGCGATTGGGTGGATGCTCCTGTGGCTTCATTCTTTGAAAGGATCCAGCTTTTTAGTTTGTTTGCTGGCCAGATAACTTGTTCTTTCTTTCACTATTAATTGAGGGAAATGGCATTAACCCGGTAACATTTATTATTCTTGTCAAACTTGATTTTGTAGAATTGTTATTTGAATTCTTCTTTGACCTTTTCCGTGGAGAATTGGATTTGGATACTGCATGAGTTAAAAAAACACATAATTAGAAATAAAACATGCAAATTAACTATAAGGGTACCACAAGAAATCCTTCTATTTCCTTTTGCTTTTACATCGTGGTAAATTTTCTGGTTTGTTTGGTTATATGGGTCTGAATCCTTTTATATGAGCTTCCAGCAATAGTTTTACTTAAGCTGTGTGTCGTGGTACAACTTTATGTTATGATTGCTAATTTGAACCTGAATTTATTTAACTGAACAGTTTATGGTTGAGATGGCTTCTTTTTGTACACCTCTTTAGTCAGCTTGCAATTAATCTTAGTTATATTTCTGTAGGAAAAACTTCAGAGGAATGAGAAGAAGCTACAATGTCATATTTCAGGGGTCATGTCAGCAATATCAGTAGGAGACTCTTCAAAGACGGAGGAAAATAGGAAAACTCCAATGCTTTCTTCAAGAATTGACCATCCTTTATGCATATTCAGTGGTTTCTCTCAAGTTTCAGGAGACAAAGACCACAGCAATCAAGACGTTTTATCTGCTACAAGTGTCAAGATTCCATGTATTGAAAGATTGCCACCATATACATCTTGGATATTTTTGGACAGGTGTTTGACTTATAATTATTTTAATTTTCTGTCCTTTTGTGCCTGATGTGCGTTTCTTTCCAAATTGAAAGTAACTGCTTCTTGAATTGTATTCCATTTTAAAATTGAAACTGAGATTTCAAAACCTATTAATAAGTTAGTATGCATATTATTTAATGTATTTTTGCTATTTTAAAATCTTTCACACACATCAGAAATCAGAGGATGGCCGAAGACCAGTCAGTTGTTGGAAGAAGACGTATCTACTATGATCAACATGGAAGTGAAGCACTGATATGTAGTGACAGTGAGGAAGAGTCAACAGAACCTGAAGAAGAAAAACATGAATTTTCTGAGGCTGAGGACCGTGTTCTATGGTAAGTTAAAATGAAGATAATAGAGTTGCCTGAATAAGGTCCATTTATCTGTGAAGGAAGATTCAACGAAATAAGAATAATTGATCCTGATTATAACCGTACTTATTAATCTCGGATAGCGGCGCGTAGCAGCTGACCCTCCAAACTGCTATAGCGCTATAGCGGGTAGCGCTACAATGCTACCGTGCAAAGTGTACCTAAGTGATACACTAAATCGTACTCCACAAATATAAAACTTAAAATATGAAAATGTGATATAAAAAACAAATTTGAAGGATTTTAAACTCAAAACATAAATGATTTCAAACATTAAAATTCAAATCATAAGCAAATTGAAGGAATTAAAGTATCAAATAATGTAATACAACAAAATAAAGTGGTAAAATTAGTCAAAATTCAAACTGCCACTTAAGTGAAATGTCAAAATTAAAGAACTTAAGGAACTAATCATAATTGAAATCATGAACATCCAAATCTTCATCTTCACTTTCACTTGTATCTAAGTTGTAAATCTTTTCCTTCTATGATAATAACACTTTTGTAGAAACTACTGTAGTAGCACAATAGCGCCGCGATTCAGCCGCAATAACGGCCGCTACATCCGCTACACTTTTCCTGTTCGTCGCGGCGCGGTTTGTGGCGGCCAGCCGCTGCACCGCAACGCAACTCCGTTATAGCGCGCTAAAGCGGGGCTATTCACAAGTATGATTATAACATTTGTGGTTGGCTATATAAATCCTTAATTAACATATATAGTGACAATTAACATAGATGCTTCATTGGAGCTTAAATGTTTTTCCTTGCTGCTCATGTGTTCAGGAAATAAGACTTGTATCATGACCACATGAGTCTTTTGATATCATATTTAAACTTGTACCTCATAATTTTCAATCTTTATTCAAACATTCGAAGTTTCTCTTTTCCAGAACTACTGTCTTGACTCTTGAATTTACTAGGATGGCATTTGAGGAATATGGGTTAAATGACGAGGTACTGAATATTGTTAGCCAGTTTGTTGGGGGCACCAGTCTAGAAATTCAGGTAATCAATAACTTGTGGACACTATTATATGTTATGCGCCTTGATTATTTTTTTACCTTACTTATGGAAAATATAAATTGCACCATGGGGATTTATGGTGAGAAGCCATTTTAATTTCTGGGAGAAATTGTTTTCATGAAAATATGCAGGAGAGATACAAAAGTATCAAGGAAAAGAATATTGGTAGGTTGGACCAGTATTCAGAAGGCTCAGGAGAATATGAATCTCCAATTGGCATATGTCCAGGGAAAAGCCTGGGTGCTGCATTAGATTCTTTTGATAACCTTTTCTGTCGCCGGTGCCTGGTACATACTAAAGCATTACCTTTTTAACATTCTTATCATTGTCATAGTGAGTGCGTCTATACTTTTCTGCTTTCCTACAGCAGATTTTTGACTGTCGCCTGCATGGCTGTTCTCAACCTTTAACATATCCTGTAAGGAACAGTTCCCTATGTTATTTTTAAACTTAATTCATAATTACTTCATCCATAAAGTTAATTGGATGGTTCACTTCACAGAGTGAAAAGCAGACAGTTTGGTCTGAGCCTGAAGGTGACAGGAAACCATGCAGTGATCAGTGTTACCTTCAGGTATTCTTCTACTTTGTCTAAGATTTAAAAAAAATAAAATTATATTTTGATGCAGGTGAGAAAATTGAACTTTTACTTGTTTTCAATACCCAAAGAGTTGAAAATGGGTTTTGTCAAATTATTTCTTTTCCTCTGCTGGTATTTTGTTTAGAATGTTATCATTGACCGTAGTATCAGCATACAATAAATATGGTGGCATTTCTATGTTCTGTTGATCAATATTGGAAGTAATTCTAGTCAAAAATTTCGCATGAGGCATGTAGCCGTAATAAGACATGCTTTCCATTTCATATATGATGAATGATTCTATGTGTATCTACATAAGCCAACTTTTGCACCCAAGTACAATTTTACCTCATCAATGTTTCTTATATATTTGATAGGGAAAATGTGTAAAGACTAAGGGAGCGTTTGGTACAGGAGAAATTTTTTTTTGCTGGGAACAAATATTTGTTGGAAAAAAAGTGGAAAGTTTTTTTTACCGGGTAAGTTAAAAAAAGTGTTTGGTAGGCCAAAATTTCACCGGGAAAGTTAGATGAATTTTACAGATATTATGTTTGGATGATGGTAAAATATTGATGGGAAAAAGTACCAAAATTACCTAATAACCCCCAATTTGAAAATTGAATGTGTTTGTCATAAAAACGTTATTATTTGACAACTGGGTTGTGTGTCTCTCTTTTACACGTATCTTTCTTTGTATACATTTTTGCCCAATAAGACATAACAAATGTTGAATAAATAAATGTGCAGTCTTATATTACATAACCCCTTTACTAATTAACAGTATGAAAAAGGTCATTATATGGCACTACCCGTATGAAAAACGTTGATCTCAGAAACTGAAACTAAAACTGGTTGAAACTTGCATATTCTGCATAATTGAAGTATACAAATAAACCATAATTACAAAAGCCAATGGACTTGTAAGTCATGGTTACATATCCTTCATATAATGTAAAGCATAAAACAAAAGCATCTGCTAGATACATTATTTCAATTTCACCAGGTTGGTATAGAACCGTAACAAAAGATGTCTCAGCTGTTCTTTTCTGATTAAATTCAACTATTGACAACTATCTCCTTTGCCAAAGCCGCAAGTCATACACAAAAAAAGGATAGGAGTTGGGAACGGATACAACATGCAGTACTCAGTCGTAGCCACACCAGAGAGCACACAAAATGGAAGAATAAAGCATGGGGTATTTTTGTCTTGTAAATTTCAGTTTTTGTTCCCACCGCATGGGAAAGAATACTTACCATACCTTTGGACGGAAACTTTAATAAAGAAAACAAGTGCAAATGTGTTTGACAGCTAAAAATGTTTCCAAATCAATTTTTAACTTTTCCACGTACCAAACACAGCCAACTTTTTTCCCCACCCCACTCTCCTGGCTAAATATTTTTTTCCATCCTACCAAACACCCCCTAATTGTCATTTCATTTTCCAGCAGTTAAAGGTTGTCAAACGTTTGTCAGAAGATTCAACTCCTGGGTCTTTTCAGGATAAGAAAACTGCAATTATGGAAGAGGAAGATGGGATATTGGCAACCTCTGGTGCAGCAGAACCTGGTAATCAGAGTACTACACCTTTTCTGACAGAAGCTGATTGTCATGGAGATATCAATTTAAATGTTCCTGTCTCAGAAAGTGTGGGGAAACGAAAGGTCACAGATCAGTCAGACACAGCACTATGTGACTCAACATTGCCTCCTGATGATTCTCAGAATTCTTGGAAAAAGCTGAAGAGAATCTCAGATGATGTAGTTACTGTAATTAATGATCATAGCAAGAACCTAAATTTGGGTGCATGTGATGAAAGTAAACACACAATTACTTGTGCACCTTTGGACAAATCTGTTGAACATGCTTCAAATAAATTAGTAGTTTCTTCTAGCACTTGCCATGGTGAGCAAGATAAAAGTGATGGGGATGGACCAAAAGATGTCACAAATGAGACAGAATTTAAGAAGTTTTCCAATTCAATGGAAGGGCAAGTTGATGGGATGTTAGGTCTCTCGGATTGGAAACCTCTAGAGAAAGAATTATACTTGAAGGGTGTAGAAATGTTTGGCAGAAACAGGTATGGAGCTTTCTGTGTTTGACCTCACACTTATGTTGAGAAATGCTAGGATGGCATCAAATTTGGTTTGAAGTGTGTATGTGGACACCTTCTTGTCTCTAGTATATGTTTTGTCTTGCCCATTTTGTGCACTGGCTAAGTCACATTTGTTTTCATTTCATTTATTTATTTATTAATTATTATTATTATTAGACATTAATATCAACATCAACAACATCTTTATCCCAAACTAGTTGGGGTCTGTAATCGATGAACCGAAATAAAAGATTGTAGGAAAAGAAGGGAAAATAAATAAATAAAAATAAATAAATATTTAAATTTTAAATTTAAAAAGAAATAAAGACAGATAAGAGAGAAAAATGAATAAGATGAAAGAAAAGAAAAAAATAATGAAATAAATATATAGAGAAAATATAAAAGAGATATAAATTAGAGAGAAAGGGAAAAAGGACTAGACAGGGATTGTCTGGAACATATGCAGAAAAACTGGTCTACCCTTCCACAGTGCTAACAACTTTCCTCCAATCCATCCTAAGATACCCCATCTGCTAATCTAATTCTTACTCCATTAAGTCTTGTTTTATTACTTTCTCCCAAGTGAGTTTTGGCTGACTATTGGGCCGAGATCTGCTCGAGGCTAAGTGGGATCAAAGTATGAGAAGCAAGTGTTATATATGAGGAGCAAGTATATATTTGAAGAGCAAATCTATCAAATTTGTGTAAGCGTACACATCAGGTAATATAGGGTTTTTATGAGCCCCAAATTATCGTCCTCGGGGAAAAGTTGTAAAAGATGCGTCGAAAGAAATGTAAACGAAGAAAACAAGTTAATTCCAAACAAACAGAAAGTAATGAGCAAATTGCTTCAAGAAAACAAATTGTCCTGAGATTAAAGTTAGTCAAAAAATGCTTGTCACCAGCTCGATTGAACAAAGTCAATCTTAAACTTAGTTTGAGTTTCGTCTTGAAGAAGTTAGAAAATGTTGAAGTTGAAATGAGAAACTGAAAGTAGAGAGCAAAAAGTTGGAAAACGTTACAGTTGAAAGTAGAAATGTTTGAGAACAGAAATTGGAAATCAGTAGTGTTGAGAATAGAGTTGGAAAAGATTACAGTTTGAGAGAAAAAACAAAAAATGTTAAGTTGAGAACAGGATAGAAATTAGAGAGCAAAAAGAGAAAATTGTTGTAGAAGGGTTGATACTTGATATGCTTCAACTAAGAACAAGTAACAAAAGAAAAATAAAAATGACTTTGACTCAAGATAAAAAGCGTAGACTCTTGGTATTTTTGTCCTGTTGGTCGTTCCTAAAACTCTATCTACTCCAAAAAATGGTATTAGCTCCGAGTACTCTTTATGGCCTTGGATACAGATTCCTCTAGCACCAAGTTTTGTTATCTAAAGCGGTCTGTGCATACCCCTATGCTCCAAACAATCTTAAGAGTCCTTTTAATTTAAGACCCAAGGGAGATTGTGCTGCCTCTTATCCTTAAGTTAGCTGCAAAATTTGTTGTTTCCATAACACTCTATACACAACAGTGTTTCTTAATTCTGGATATTCCTACTTCCCAAAAGCAAATACCCTAAGACTTCCCTTAATGCCTATCAACCGGAACATTAAAGCTAGAAACATCACAAATTCCATTAATAAGAATAGACTTACAGATTAAGTTCAACCTAAGACTAAGAGGGATACTTCTACTTCCCATTTTGCCTACTAAAAACACTTAGCTTATACTAAGGAGCATAACTAAAACCTAATTACAAAAGAAAATAAAAGCTGGAAAAACAGAGAAGAACGCTAAGAAGGACGATGAGTCCTTTGACTCCTTTCCAAAAGCTTCTGAAGGTAGTGTCTCCTTCTCTATTTATAGGTGATAGGTCCTCCTTAAATTAATATTGGCCATTGGTTGAAATCAATGGTCCAGATTACATTTCGCTCTCAAATAAAGGACGTGCTTCCTTCCAGCTCAGCCTTGAAGTATACATTTGAGCCTCTTTTTCTTCGACTTTTGCTGAATTTTACATGTTGTTGCGCTACAAAATATGGTGCAATACTCCTCCATGCTTGTCTGGCATGTTTCCAGGTGGTGCATCACTTTTTCAGGTAAGGACAACAAGTACAACAATGTCTTTTCCTCTTTATGCCACATTTTTCTGCTTTTGTCCTTTTTGTCTCTTTTTTTGTCTTTTTCTTCTTTCTTTTTCTCCAAGTTTGCTTCATATCCGAATTGGGCTTCCTCCAAATGAGTTCTGGGCCCCCTGAAATGTAAAATAACAAATCAAGCCGAAAAATAATTAAATTAAGCTATTTTACACCCGATCACACCCTGCTTCCTCAAAATAAGAATTGCTCTAGCCCAAATTGCAATATAGTGCTCCTAAATGCAAAATTGGTTCTAAGTGACACAAATAACAACAAAAAGTGGGGAAATTAACAATGAGTACACAAGATAGCTCTCCACTTTTGGGAGCTAACACCGACCTCTTCCACTTTTTGTGTCAAGCTCTTGGTAACAAATTTTTGTTCTTACGGGAACATTGAGGGTTCTTCGCATTATATGCCCAATTCATCTCAATGTATGTTCTCTCATCTTTTCAGTCATCAGTGCTACTCCTATCTTTCATTGAATATCTTCATTTCTTACCTTATTCATCCTTGTATGACCGTATATCCACCTATATTTTTTGCTTTGTGTTGGAAGTAACTTTTTTTGTTCGTTAAACCTACAAACCCATCCTTTTTTTTAGCTTCAATTTCAGTTAATCTTCTTGAAGACCTGAGTAGTTATGGGAGAAAAGGCATTAACTTGGAAGTTTGTAAGTTTTGATTGTACTTTCCGTGTGCATTATTTACTAAGTATATTAAATGTGTGTTTGGATTAGCTTATTTTGGAGAAATATAGCTTCTTTTTTGGCAGTTTCCATGCTTTTAGAAAAAAATGATTATTTCCCATAATAAATCGGTTATCTTTCTTTTCTTTAAAGTAACGAATTATCTTGAAATTGTGTTCTCGAAGAAACTATTCTACACTTGACCTCATATGTATGGGAAAAATAAAGACTTCATATGTAGATGAGAGGGAACCTGCCTCCCACATGCTAGGATTGGCATTGGGGAAGGGAGAGGATTGGGGGACAAACAAATGGGTTGAGATAGAGCTAAAAAGAGACTACATTTGTCTTCTTGTAATACCCCCTCCCTTTCCTAGCTATCACAAAATAGTATAACAGATTTGTTTTAGTAACTGCATCCTGATAATGCCAGGCTGTACTTCTGAAATCAAAAACTTTTCTTCACAGTTGCCAATTGAATTTGTCATATTTTTAACATATACTATATCCATAAACATATCATGCTTGAGCTTATGCATTTGTAAAATATTCTTGTTTCTTGTGCAAGCGTTGGGTTCTTCTGTTAAAGCCCTATTCATTGTATTAAGCAATCAATAATAACTACTGAAGTTTAAATGCACTTTTAGCACTTGATTTTGTCTAAACTGTGAGTAATAATCAACTAATAAAATGCATGAATTAGAAAACACTTTGTAGTTAACTTTCCCAATTGTGACTAATGGTTCATAAGTAAATGAAAATAAAGCATAGTTCATTTTCCCTTCATAAATATTGTACTATATGTAGAGGTCTAATTTTGTTAAGTTTGCGCTAATGTCATATGAATCATACTCTGCAGTTGCCTCATAGCAAGGAACTTACTTTCTGGCTTGAAGACTTGCATGGAAATTGCTAGTTATATGCATGCTGGAGGAGTGTCACTGCCCCACAGATCTATTGTTGCACCGAGTTCAATCATAGACGACAAGGGGAAAATTGATGCAGAGTGTACAGTGAGAATTACAAGCTTTCCTGCTCCCATCTTCTTTCCCCTACATTCTTCAGTCTTCTATTGTTGTCTTGATTGTCTTTTTATTATTTCCTTTTTTTTTTGGGTGGGGGGAGGGTTGGGGGAAGGCTTGATGAAGGCCCCACCCTGTGGGCTAAGGCTTGTTTGTTGTAATTTACCAAAAGGTTACAACTGAATTTATTATTGCAAAAACAAATATATAACTAACATCGTTATACTCTGGAATTTTTTAGCCATATACGAGAAGTGGTATCACAATCATCTGATTGGGCATCAAACTTTAAAAAAATGTGAATTGTTATTATCTTTAATTGTAGGAGATTTTCTAGCATTTTATATTTAGTTGCCTAATAATTAGGGTGTTTCTAGATTTTACATGCAAAGAGATTGAGTTGCTCTTTTGAGCTATATATATTCATTTCTTCTTTATTACCTGTCTAATTTCTTTGTAGCCTTGGGAAGATTCCAGATCCTCCTGTTTTGATGTTGAGTATTTTATTTATTTATTTTTAAAAATTATTCTTGTGAATGTTCAGCTTTCCATACTTGAATTTATTATTCAAATTTTTGTTCTGACAACTTCTACCAAACTTCGAGTACCCTACAAGTTAGATACCAAAAAATTCCTTTTGAATCTGGGTTTTCATAATAGGACCAAGAGATGTCATCTAGGTCCCGGTTCTTGAGGAAAAGGGGCAAAACAAGGAAGTTTAAATATTCTTGGAAGTCTGCTGGCCACCCATCAATATGGAAAAGAATTGCTGATGGAAAAAACCAATCTTGCAAGCAGTATACACCATGTGGATGTCAGCCAATGTGTGGAAAGGAATGTCCTTGTGTTAATGGAGGAACTTGCTGTGAAAAATATTGTGGGTATGTTGCTTTTCATTTAATTATGTAGCTTTTCTAGTGATAAAATTGAAGAGAAAATCACAGGATATTTGTTACGAACCTGAAATGGGTTCTGAATGTTGAAAGCTAAAGATGAGTAAAACAGAGATGGAAACTGGAAAGGAACGAAGAGCAACGTCTGTTATTGAGAAATGATTGAACAATTCGCAAGGGTTTCCCCTTCCACAGAGTCTTTAGACTCAATTTACACAAAACGAATATCTGCCTCCCCCTTCTGTCCTTTCCCCATTTATTTAACAATCTTTCCCACTCAAACCCCATTCCCTTCTAACTACTACAACTATCCTAACTAATTAACCAATCTAACTGTCTTAACGATTTAATCTTCTCTGACCCTAACAACATTCCATATTTCTCGTGGCCATGTATTGGTCTGCTTGAATTATTTGTCAGCAATCTATGAGGTCATGGAGGAAATCTAATGAGATGATCTGGATAGATGGTCAAATATAATTACTTGGTTTAGTTAGCTAAGTTGTCGAACTCATAAAACAAGAAACAATCATTTCTTTCGGAGTGACCAGAGATGTATATCTATCAATGTAAAGCTATTTCTTCAAAACTTTTTTTTCTTCCATGTCTGGGAAGGCTCCTAAAAGTGCATTTTCTACTTAATTTTAAACTATTCTACAAAGTACAGACTTGAATAATATAATTTTTAACAAATTATGATTTAAATTTAATAAATTAGCTATTCTACTTCAGTTGTTCAAAGAGCTGCAAAAACCGATTCAGAGGATGTCATTGTGCCAAGAGTCAATGCAGAAGTCGACAATGCCCATGCTTTGCTGCTGGACGTGAATGTGACCCAGATGTCTGCCGAAATTGCTGGGTTAGGTAATGTGTCAAATATTTTGGTTGTGAACTTGATTTTATGCCTCCTAGGTTTTTGAATTTACATATCTCGCTTCTGTTACTTCATCTGATTGAGAAAGTCATTATTTTCAAGTAATATTTTTAACCCAATAATGCAGTAGTATCTACTCTTTTTGCTTGTTTAGGTATATCAATGCAAACCTTTGTGAACTTTTTTTTTTTTTGTATCCTTGATCTGGCATGTGTATTTCCATATATCTTAACTGATTTGAGAAACCAAAGATAAAATTTGGTTTATTTCTGGTTTATATAAATGATATTGTTTCAGCAAATATTCATTTGTTCATACGATAGCCACGTGCATCACAAATCTGTATGATTTCCAAAAATTAATATTTAGTACCTATGCTTCGATAAAATTCTTTTATCAATGAAAGAAATGCTTCAATGTGAGATGAATCTTGAAGATGACCTTTGGGTAGTTCTATATTACAACCCATTAAAAATAAAAGGTAGGGTTAAAACATGTAGGATGCATGTGATTCATCCGTGAAAAATGTACAAAATATGGCCCTTCCACCACCTCCATCTTCTGCGACATCAGGGTCTGGCAAAGCCTTGTATCTTTTACAACTATGAATCAATGTGGTTGAGCTGAAGTGTCCATTTTCTGTTATAAAGCTAAAAGCTTCCTTTCATCTGTGACTTGAAACTGTCCTAAGCTCCTTTGAATTCTTACTGAACTATGTTGATTACGAGTGTTGGTTTCTTTTATAACTTTTAGTAGAATTTATCCTTTTCAAAAATGTAAGGCACCTCTTAAAAAAATTAGGTAAAACCCTGGACAGATACTTTTTCTTTTAAATTAAACACCTCAGTATCTCACCATCAACCCCCCCGAACAAAAAAAAGGAAACTCTAGAAACCATGCTACACTTCAGCTTTATTTTTCCCTTTAGTTGTGTATAGGTTAAAACTTTCTTAACCTTTTTCTCGCTTATATGTTATTTGGACACTGGAGTCTCCCTTACCCCTTAAATCTTTGACAATGCTTTTAAATATTACATTCTTTATACAGTTGCGGAGATGGTTCGTTAGGGGAGCCACCTCGGCGTGGAGAGGGTCAATGTGGAAATATGAGGCTTCTTTTAAGGCAACAACAGAGGGTTAGTAATTCTGAGCTTGGGGTTTAAAATTATCCGCATTTCATTCTCATGAATCAAAATCATGAATGCATATGCATGAACTTGTGTCTCACATTATTTTTATTTGTGTCTGTCAGATTCTCTTGGCAAAATCTGATGTTGCAGGATGGGGAGCCTTTTTGAAGGTTAAGATTAATGGATTTGTTTGTTTACTAATAACATTAGCTTGTTCCCCTCACAAATTGATGATGACATTTCAGAACCCAGTTAACAAAAATGACTACCTTGGAGAGTACACAGGTGAACTGATCTCCCACCGAGAAGCCGATAAGCGTGGGAAAATATATGATCGTGCAAACTCTTCTTTTCTTTTTGACTTGAATGATCAGGCAAGTGTCTCCCATGACCTACATTTTTTCTTAAACTGGGCTGCTCTACCTCTTCTTCCAATCTATTATTTTCCCTTACATTTCTTTCATGGCAAGCTATAACATAATGGAACTTCAAACTCTGGTTATTTAAGACCTTAAAGCTGCTATCTGTTTCTTCGTAGTACGTTCTTGATGCTTATCGCAAAGGAGACAAGTTGAAATTTGCGAACCACTCATCAAACCCCAACTGCTATGCAAAGGTGAGTCTAGAAGCTCAAGCTTTGTGGAGCTTTAAAACTTACCCTTTGCGCTCGGTAGCTTGAACATGATCTTTGAATTGTCACAATGATTGGTGTTATAGGTGATGCTGGTTGCTGGAGATCACAGAGTAGGCATATTCGCCAAGGAACATATTGATGCTAGTGAGGAGCTATTCTATGATTATCGTTATGGTCCAGATCAAGCACCCCCATGGGCTCGTAAGCCTGAGGGTTCTAAGAGAGACGAATCAGCAGTTTCTCAAGGCAGAGCAAAGAAACATCAATCACATTGATGAGCCACGGCCAAGGTCCAGCATGTACAAATTTTTGGCTTCTACCATTATATTTCTCTACAGAGACAAACTCGTAACATCCTATGGGAAAGAGTTAGCAACTGTCCCGAGGAAGGAAACAAATAATTGTTATGCAGATGCTAATATGCCTCAAATTATGAATATAACATAGATAAACAATAAATTGGGCAAGAGATGAAGCAAATCAATGTGGAGGGCAATAAGCTAGAAATTATACTAGCGGTTGGGGACAAAAGTATAGAATTTTGTTTCGGATGCTTGGCATATTTATTTTTCCACGCACTTAAGCTAATTTGACAATTTTTTTCATGAATAAGATTTAAATCTTGCTGATAGTAAGAAGAACTTCAAAGGAATGTATGTATGCATATATCTATGTATGAATGTATAGGTTACAGGGACTTGAATTCAACACAGATTTGAGTATTTAAGTTATTACATTGGGGCTTCAATACAAGATTGTATGAGCAATTACTTGCGTAAAAATAAAATAAAACAAAATCAAGAGAGACTTTTGGATTTGTAATTGGAACTTTGAGCTCTAATTGAAATATTAAAATTTTAAGTATAATACCAACTTTTAATTCTTTATACTATAATAACAAAAGTATGTATATAGTTGGTTCTAATTTTGATAGAATTTAAACAGAAATTGTGATTAGATTATCTCAATTATTATTTTGTTGTCCAAGTAAAACCTTACCGTTCTACTACAATAACATTTCAACTACATGGTAGCAGATTTGCAGTAGAAAAAATAATAATATGAATGTCCTCCACAATGTCAATGTTAGCTTATTCCAAGCGGATTCCAAATGGCTGCATTAGATTAATATTGGGTGGGTATATCACACATCTTTAACAGCTTCATGATTATTTTATCGGATAATTTTATGCTTTACCAATGGCAATTATTTTTTTCCCTTTTTTTTGGTAAGTATTATTTTTTTCCCTTGTACTATAACAGTAGTTCAATAGCAATTACACCCTTTACCTTTTATGTAGGTTCAAAAAAAACTTCAAAAAATAAAAATAAAAATATCCACTACAATGTTCATAACCATACTGATGCAAAATTATAGGGAAAGTAGGCTTTTAGGAAAATGCATAAGTTTTCTGTTATACTATTATTCTTTAACAATAAAAAAGTCTGTCTTTCACATCCTTCTAACAAGCCTTTTAATCAGGCAATACAAAAAGTAACTGACAATAAAGAACCATCAATGGTCTTAAAACTAATACAAAACGGAAATAGCCATAAACCAAACATAAAGTCATGCAAACTGAAACGTCTGCAATTATTAAAATTATAAAAGGCCTTAAAACTAACATGTCTTCAGTTATAATAACTTATGCTGACTCAAGTGCATCATCTTCCCCCGCTACGAAAAGATTCGCCCTCGAATCTGCGTCGTCTTTATTGACGTCAACTTCTTCAGGTGGTAATCCAGGCGGCAATTCTTCTTGCATTACATCTGCGAATTTTGTCAGTTCTAAAATCTCTGACTTGGACAGCAAAGAATTCTTTGCTTCCTTCCTCTAATCTGAAGGTGCTAGTGTAATAAGGTGACCATCCTTTTTGAAGGTGTAAGTATTTTTGAAACCATCATGTTTTTCCTTCCTATCAAATTGCCATGGCCTACCTAATAAAATGTGACAAGCATCCATAGGAACGACATTGCACCATACCTCATCTGAATATTTTTTCCCAATTGAAAAACACACGAGGCATCTTTTGGTTACCCTCACCTCATTTCCTTTTTTTAGCCACGACAACTTATAAGGTTGTGGGTGTGCTTCTATTTTTAGCCCCAACTTTTCTACCAAAGTGGTAGAAACAACGTTTTCACAACTCCCTCCGTCCCCGCTGGTGCACTTGGTGTGGAAAATGGTGTGCCGAAACCACGTTTCATCATTCACCAAATCCTCATTCAAGACTCTTCGAGTGATTAATGATTCTCTGGTATCAGCATAGACAATTTCTACCTCTTCAGATTTCGTTTCTTCTTGTTCATCTACATTGTCATAGATTGGTTCTTCATCAAAAATTGGAGCATCTGCAAACGAGGTTGTGGGTGTGCTTCTGTTTTTAGCCCCAATTTTTCTACCAGAGTGGTAGAAACAACGTTTTCACAACTCCCTCCATCTATAATCACACTGCATGCTTTTCTCCCGCTGGTGCACTTGGTGTGGAAAATGGTGTGCCGAAACCACGTTTCATCATTCACCAAATCCTCATTCAAGACTCTTCGAGTGATTAATGATTCTCCGGTATCAGCATAGACAATTTCTACCTCTTCAGATTCTGTTTCTTCTTGTTCATCTACATTGTCATAAATTGGTTCTTCATCAAAAATTGGAGCATCTGCAAACGTCACAATCTGTTTATTTGGACAATCTGCAGCAAAGTGTCCAATTCCTTGACACTTGAAACATTTTTTCCCTGCACTACTTCCTTTACTCGACCCTTCCTTGTTGGGAATATTTTTTTGAGGCGTAGAACTCCTTTCAACAGGTGAACTCCTTTCCGCAGGTGAAGTTGCTGATGAACTCACTGATTTAGCTCTGAATTCCTTTCTAGGAAATCTTAATTGAAACTTCGAACTCTCACCCTTTCTTTTACATTGTCCTGCCACCTTCAAGGACAGTTTGCACACATCTTCATAAGACCAATACTGTTGTAGGTACACAACATCAGAAACTTCATCCCGCAATCCACCTAGATATCGAGCAATCACTTGTTCATCTTCTTCGACCATGTCACAACGCATTCGAAGACGATCAAATTCAGAGGTGTATTGTTCCACCGTAAGGTCACGTTGCCTGAAATTGTGATACTCAATAAAGGCCTCTTGTCTGTATTGAGCAGGAAAAAAATTGTGCTGCAACAATTTCTTCATCTTGTCTCATCTTTGAATCTTAGACTTTCCGTCTCTGATTCTTTGTTTCTTGACATGTTCCCACCAGATTGAGGCATGCTTCCTCAATTTGATTGCCACTAATTTCACCTTTTGCTCATCAGTGAGGTTTTTTAAATCAAAAACCCTCTCGACGGTGTGTAACCAGTCGATGAATACGTCAGGGAGAGTTGATCCCTCAAATTCTGGAATCTCGATCTTCATCCCAAAATTGGATATGAAGGGTTGATCACCGGTTCGACCTCTCCTTGGTCTTTCGCGGTTCCAAAATGGATTTTCATCCTCCTCTTCCTCTGGAGATGACAATTCAAATTCCTGTCTCCCTTCTGACCCGTGCAACTGTGCCTCTGCAAGCAGTTGTTCGAGTTCTTGGATTCATCTGTCCTTTTCCTCAATTTCAGCATCTCTCGCATCAATATAATAATCGTCATCGGTAGGTTGATTGCATCCTCTGCCGCCACGACCTCTTCGTCCTCTGATACCAAATGATGCAAAATTATAGGGAAAGTAGGCAAAATGCAGAAGTTTTCTGCTATACTACTATTCTTTAACAATAAAAAAGTCTGCCTTTCACATTCTTCTAAGAAGCCTTTTAATCAGGCAATACAAAAAGTAACTGACAATAAATGACCATCAATGGTCTTAAAACTAATACAAAACGGAAATAGCCATAAACCAAACATAAAGTCATGCAAACTGAAACGTCTCCAATTATTAAAATTATAAAAGGCCTTAAAACTAAAATGTCTGCAATTATAATAACTTATGCTGACTCAAGTGCATCACATACCCAGTACTTAAGTAATTTCTTTGTCTAGATTGTGATTTAATCACACGAATCCAATTTGTGTTTTAATTCAATAGTGTAAAATAAACAATTTTAAATAGCTAAACATTAATTTGAGCGTTATGTTATTTTTTCGATAAAAGAATTCCTATATCAATTATAACTTAATTATTTTATTAATTATTTTTATTTTTTTCCTTTGAGAATAACTATATTCCTAATTGTATCTTTTATCTTTTTTTAATAATATTTCTATGATAAAACACACCGCATATTAGAATAAATAAATATTAGTAAAATTTTCAAGACAATATATTAATTTTACTACTAACAATATAATAAAATCAGAAATAGTTACGATTAGGGGTGTAAATAGGCTAGGCTAGGTTTTGGCTTAAATAGGTTAGGTTTGTGTAAAAATCATTACGCATGGCCTGGCCTATTAGCTTGTGTAGGCCCTAAATTACAAGTCTGGCATGACTTATATTTAAAAAATAAAAGTCTTGACCTAGACCTGTTAGCCTGTTTAAGCTTATTAAACATTCAACAATTAAAAGAATAACTAAAATAATATTATTTTATTATTCAAAATTATTAAAATAATAATTTTATTTATTATATTTTAAATAAATAATATGATATAGGCCGACCTATAAGTTTATAGGTCCAACATGTACAAAAAAACCTATGACATGTTTTCTAAATATGTTTTTTTAAAAACCTAGGCCTGTTCTATTTACAATTTATAATAGGCCAAACCTGACCTACTATAAGTTAGGTCGTAGGTAGGGGTGTAAATGAGCTGGGCTTTGTCCTTCCTGGCCCAAGCCTACGTAAAAAAAATTCAGCCTATCTGGCCTACTGGCCTATCAAAGGCTTTATTTGTAGGCCAAGCTCGGCCTATTTTTAAAAATAAGAAAGCCCGACATGGCCTACAGGCCTTGTAGGCCTACCACTGTAGATACTAAGAAAAGAAAATAATTGTATAGAGCAAAGAAAGTTTCATTCATGAATGCAATAGTACTTCTCATAAGAAAAAAATAACAAACAAGAAAGAGTCAACATAATACCCCAGCTTTAGAATGTATATCTATGAAACACGGACACGTGTTTTTTGAAAAAAAATGCGTGTCCGACACGTGTCGGACACGGACACGTTAGGACACGTTCGGACACGCGTCCGACACGTGGTCAACTTTTTAGGACACGTTGACTTGAGGGACACGCGTGTTTGACTGAATCCGACACGCAGTCAACGTATCTGGACACGTTTTGCATATTTTTTGTAAAAAATAAATAAAACTACAATTAAAAAAAAGAAAAATTATTTAATAAAAATAAAAAATGAACCCTATTCTCTAATCCTCTCTCGCGCCGGAGAGTGGAGGCTGCTGGTCGCCTGGTCCCCGTCCTTCTCTTCTTTCGTCGTCGGTCAATCGTCGGTCGTCGTCTCCGGTAAGTCTCTTTCGGTTCTCGCCTTTTTGATTATCAGTCCTTCGCTTCCTACCACTTGATATCCCATCTATTAATGGGATTCCTAATTTGTACATTGCAGATCTATAACACCCTCCTCGTCTCCGGTATGCTGATGTTGGCTGCTCAGCCAATACTGTTGTTCATTTTCTTACTATTTTTATGTACTCTTACCCTGCTGTGTTTTTGTTGCCATCAATGTTTGTGGTACTCTTCACTTGAGTGCTTTTTCTACTATGTACGATGCGATGCCTATCTTACTTCTTTTTTCTGCCTTTTTGTTTTTGGTACTATTCACTTGAGTGTTTTTTCTACTAACTTCAATCTTTTGACTAATGGATAAAAGGGTGTTCCATTGTATATATTTACTGTTAAAAGCTAAATAACCACTAACAAATAACTACTGTTCCCTTATCCCCTGTAATGTAACCTTTAAAATTTATTTAATTTTAGTGTATCTTCTCCATCACGTGACATGACAGCAATGACAGATTGCAAAGATCAACATGTATAATTATATTATATATATTAAAAAATTTATTTAATATCAAAACGTGTCCTAACGTGTCCAAATATGATATTTTTTAGAATTAACGTGTCATCGTGTCGTGTCGGTCGTGTCTCGTGTCCGTGTCCGTGCATCATTGATGTATATCATAGAGGAATAGAGTCAAAGAAATGAGAAAAATAAGAAAAATACAATTATTGGGTGCTGAAATAAAGTCTACAAGAGAATGTCATTCATCTAAAAATTAGGGTTGGTATTGGTACTTTGTCATGCCACATAAAATAAATATTATTTTATTTTTAATAAATTAAATAGGTCAGCCTACAAGGCTTTGGGCCAGGCTTGAAAAAATTGGCCTACGGCCTATTTGTTAAAAAAACTTTCTTAAAAGCCTAAGCCTACTCTACTTTTTTTAAAGGTTGGGCCAAGTCAGGCTTAATGTAGGCTGGGCTGTAGGCTGGGCTGGGTCAGCCTGACCCATTTACACCCCTAGTCGTAGGTCCCTGTAGGCCATCCTAACCCATTTACACTCTAGTTACGATGAAAAAAAGCAGTTTTCCAAAGTTAATTTAAAATTTATTAACATGAAAAGGACTTTATTTAATCCCTAATTTAATTTAAATTTGGGTGTATAACTAACTACCTCGGGGGAAAAAATAATTACAGGCTTAGATTTATAAGCGCCCAAACGAAATTATAGTTGGGCTTTAAGGGCCCAGATGACCCATAGCCTTTATAGATACTATATGGATAGCCTTTTATATGTCGTCTTCTCGAAGTCCATCGACAACTTCGTCTTCGCCTCTGGTGAGTTCTATCATTTCTCTGTGTTATAGATCTTCAAACCCTAGCAACGCACACACAACACCTTTCTATTATTCTTAGTTCATACAAATCGATTGTTCATTCTGTTGATCACTTTGATTTATGAGCAAACTTTTTATTTTATTTTTTATTTTATAAACGGGGGTGAAAATTTAGGGGCCATCCATGAATTTTTGTCCTCCATGTTTAAGGGTGTGTCGAACTAACTTTGGGGTAAATAAGGGACTATGAGTGTGTTCGTCTCCCTTTTTTATTAAAGAGAAAGCAAGTCAATGAAAATTCTCTTCTCCTTCCCTGCGCTTTACTTTTCCTTCGTTCTCTTGAATCTGAGCATACTGTCACATTGGTCAGGCCTGTTTTGAACTGTATCCAAGTTTGATATATTTAAATGTTTCATAAACCAATGTTTTGTATCTTGTAGAATTCACAAGCTTAAAGAAAGAGACGTAAATGGCTGGTCCTAGGCTTGCTCATGCTACCTTGAAGGGACCAAGTGTTGTGAAGGAGATAATAATTGGAATAGCACTCGGTTTAGCTGCTGGTGGTGTCTGGAAGATGCATCAATGGAATGAACAGAGAAAAACCAGGGCCTTTTATGATTTACTGGAAAGAGGTGAGATTACTGTTGTTGCAGAGGAAGAGTAAGAATGTTCTTGCTTGGTGCTATGCACTTCATTTATAGGCTTTTTTCCCCTGCTATATTCAATTGGCTCTTTATATGTAAATGAGCCGCCTTACTCTGAGATTGAAAAAAATAAGTTCTTGCACTGATTGTGGACTATGTTGGCTTGTAGAAAATTCATGAAGTTAAGTTTTATTTAGTGCTCGAGTTATTTTCTGGTTGCAGTACAAGTGTAGATGTTGTTATATGTTCGTTTGTTTGCTCTGTAGATTTTCGTAACTTGTTTTCTACAGCTAAGTTGCAAGAAGTAACATCATAGATGAGGCATCTCTGTTGTTTGAATAGTTGGATCTTTTGTGTTGAGATTTTTATGATGTTAGAATTTGTTGATGGGCTGGGCTTGCTTGTACTAGGTGCATTGCCCTTGTGCTTGACAGAGAATAATAGTATACATGTATTAGGTAAGTGTTTTATATCACAACATGACTATTATTCAGAACCTTATTAGTAAAATATATTCTCTGTTCTCCTTTCCATTCAATCCCTAAATTTCAATTTCAACACTAAAAAACTTTACAAATGCAAAGTTCGTTAGGAGAGAAAAAAATATTGCTGAGCGCTATCTTGAATATGCAAATAGGCATCTGTTTGTCCAGGATATATAATCCCTCCCAAGCGCGGCATATCCCAAGGCTTGACTCTTAACTGTAAACTCCTGTGTGGCTTCAAGCTTTTGTTATTTGCACAAAAAGAAAAGGTAATTGGCTGATAACAATAGGAAATCATTCTCTTTCTATTGGTGGCAGAAGCTACCCTAATTGTTATGATGTTTGTTCAGTTACTTTCGGGGCAATATTTCATGGTTCCGATTTTGGTGACTTGGGATGTTAGAGATATTATAAAGTTATTCGTAAGTCTTATGTTTGGATATGCTATACATATCTCAAATGCCCGATTGTGTGATACAGTGATTTTCTGCACAAAAATCAAGTTTGCTTCTGGAAGCATGTTTCACTAAAATTTGAAAAATGCATGCACCAAAAAAGAGAGGAAAAATGCAGCTTTTGCGTTGGGTTTAGAATTTCATTCTATTTTCCTACAAACTTACTTTTCCAAAATAAATTACTTCAGATTCGCTTTTAACCGATATCAATTTAGCAAAATGAAGATTATTCAAATTAAGTCTACAAAAGCTCATTTAAATGCACACTTAGGCTTTGATATGGTACTAAATCTTTCTTACCAAGTGATAAGGAGTTCATCTTTGCTCTCTCTATTCTAATAATTAGTTGAATTTTAACATAACATAAAGCGGCGGCGTACACTATTTTCCTTTCGAGTTCAAGGGATCATACTTTGCATTACCGGATGTGTTTGAAATATTATAATGTTTAGGGTAAGTGGCGGAGCCTCATTGAGACCAGCTAGTGCCTTCGCACTGGCTTGGTTTTCATCAGCTCCTACAGAACCATTGTCGACTGTAATCCTGGTAGGGGGGAAATGAGAGAAATTCCCTGTTGGCATTGGCTTGGACAAGGTTTTGCAGCAATGTTCTGAAAAACTCTGCTCCGATTTTCGATCCCAATTCCTCAAAGAACTCGTCGATAAGTTCTACATAGGGAATTTATCAGTGCTTCAGGTCAAATTTCTGTTCTTGAACTTTATTGCTTTTCTAGGGTTTGATCAAGATTTGAGCTTGCGTGTGTTTTGTTTGGGATTGGGGTCTTAAATCAATGAAATTACATTAAGGGTTTGTTTTGTTACCAATCTAATTTATTGCTTTCTCAAGTTGCACGCAGTCATGACAGATCTGGTTTTGAATTCGAATCTTGTTTTGTCTATTCGAAACCTTGATTTGTTTACGTTTGGGGTCTTAAATCAATGAAATTACATTAAGGGTTTGTTTTGTTACCAATCTAATTTATTGCTTTCTCAAGTTGCACGCAGTCATGACAGATCTGGTTTTGAATTCGAATCTTGTTTTGTCTATTCGAAACCTTGATTTGTTTACGTTTGAGTCATGGATGAAGGGAATTTGCTTGTCTTGGGTTGACCAGAAACTTTCAGGGAACTTGTGTTTGACTTGAAATTGGCACAACCCCCTTTAATTTTTAGTGAGTTTTGATTCAAATGTATTTCTGGAAAAAATGAACATTGGTCGTATCAAATTTGTGATATATCTATCCTGAGCACCCAAGGTTTCTTTTTGAAAGGTGGTCTTTTTAACTTGGATTGGGTTTTTTTGTCTGAAAAGGTTGTATCCTTATTTTATTTGCTTGTTGTCAATGCATCTTTTTTGTCGGACATTTTGCTTTTTTTTGGCTAATTTTGTCAAGGGCTCATGGCTCCTAGTGCTGCTGGGCTAAAAGTTTTTCACTTTTTTTAATTTTTATTGCTTTTGAATCTGCATGTTTTTGTGTGCACTTGTCTTTCCAGTACATAATCTTTGGTTTACGAGATTCTATATGCTTATTCTTCCTCCAAGAGCAATTCCACCCTTGAATATACTTGGTCTTGCAATTTTTCTTGTAGAAAGAAAATTTCTTCCTTTTTAAGGTATGTGAGAATTTTCTTGTATGAGAGACTCTTCTATGATTTACAGTTATGCACTGTACAATATTTTTCTTTTTAATGTATTCAAATAAGTTTGAGTAAACTGCAGTTATAGACTGTAATCAACTTCGTTGTCGTGCTACTCTCAACCCCAATCATTGGTGCTGGAATCTGGCTAACAAATGAGCCAGCCAATACCTGTGTCAATTTTCTACAATGACCTGTAATCATCCTAGGGGTTCTAATCCTGGTTGTAGATCTGGCAGGTTTCATTGGAGCCTTTTGGAGAATCTCTTGACTCCTAATATTCTACCTCATTGCCATGCTTGTGCTCATAATTTGCTAGTGGTTTAATGGCTGGGTTATATTTTTTGGCACTGCTTAAAATTCTTGTCTGGCTCCGCCACTGTTTAGGGTTTTAGGGTAGTTTTTACAAGAGGATGTGTTAGAAGCACAGTAAAATTCTGGGTTTAAGGAGAGTACGGTTGGTAAAAATAAAATGCATTGCTGCATTTTTTAGAGGAACACGAATACGAAATTACACTAAATATAGTTCTGAGCCGTTTGAGCTTAATGGAGATGAACGACCACTATAGCATTTTGAAGTCATTCTCAAATTACGATTCGTAGTTTGGATGTGTTTACAAGTTGCTGGAAGAAATTTCAATCCTAAAACCACTGAGCAGATATCAATCTTTGATTATTTGAGGACCTATTTTCGGCAAGTACAGTTACGTGACTTCTTGATTATGCTTTGACAGTAAACTTTTATAATTGGCTAGGATATCACATGAACGACTTTCTACCAAGGCCCGGTAACAAAGTCTGACTAGACTAGAAATGTAAATCATGATGAATGTTCCGCATTTCAATTTGAGAATCTGGTGATTGCTTCTGAGGTGGAGACTCTTGACACGATCCTGCACAATATTAAATGGTTTTTTGGTAAAGGAGAAATTTCTTTGTGCCAGGAATTATGATTTTTAGGAATATGATAAAAGTCATTTTTTTAGAAATGTTACCAAAAAATTATTTGGTAGGCCAAAATATTATCAGAATTTTGTTTCAAAAAAGTATAAAAAAAATTCAACACCTGAAATTCCTTGAATATCACCAAGGAGTGATATTCTTAGATGACATTTTGGAGAAAAAAATTGTACACAAAATGAAATTTCAGAAATTATGCCTCAAATTATGAATATAACACAGATAAACAATAAATTGGGCAAAAGATGAAGCAAATCAATGTTGATGGCAATAAGCTAGAAATTATACTGGCGGTTGGGGGCAAGTATAGAATTTTGTTTAGGATGGTTGGCATATTTATTTTTCCACGCACTTAAGCTAATTTGACAATTTTTTTCATGAATAAGATTTAAATCTTGCTGATAGTAAGAAGTAAGAACTTCAAAGGACTGTATGTATGAATGTATAGTTTATAGGGACTTGAATTCAACAGAGATTTGAGTATTTAAGTTATTACATTGGGGCTTCAATACAAGATTATATGAGCAATTACTTGCGTAAAAATAAAATAAAACAAAATCAAGAGAGACTTCTGGATTTATAATTGGAACTTTGAGCTCTAAATTGAAATATTAAAATTTTAAGTATAATACCAACTTTTAATTCTTTATACTATAATAACAAAAATATGTATATAGTTGGTTCTAATTTTAATAGAATTTAAATAGAAATTGTGATTAGATTATCTCAATTATTGTTTTGTTGTCCAAATAAAACTTTACTGTTCTACTACAATAACATTTAATTTACGAGGTAGGATATTTATATAATATTTTCTCTACTATTAACTCACTAGTACTCTAATCACCGATGAATCAAATTTTTCAGCAAAAAGTGCATTGAAGAGAGAAAAAAAAAGTTATTGAACAACTCAAAAATTTGATCCAATGATGATTAGAGTGGTAGTGAATTTGTAGTAGAAAAAAATGATAGTATGAATATTCTACTTCTTAATTTACAACATTAATATTATAAACACAGTAAAAGGATGCTTTTGGATTTATTTTTAGAAAAAAAAAAAATACTTCGTCTATTTTTATTTTTTACTTTATAATTATTAATTTTGTTGACTAGCATTAAAAAAAATGTTTAAATGTAAGCAAAAATGAAATATTTAATAGTCGAATCATTCTTATTTCAATCAGTGTCTTAGATGTGCAATGATATATGAATGTAAATATTTTGTAAAAAAGTTTGATACATAGAATATATTAGATGCTAAGTGCAAGAATTTAACTTCTTGAAAAGAGCAACAGAACAAGGTCTCAAGGATAACAATTTCTTATGGAAAGGTAAAGAAGTCATTGTGGCTCTGATATTGGAGTTAGACTCTTTGGACTGAATATGGAGATTGAATATAAAGATTTTTTTCTTGCTAATTCTTTGTATAATGGATGAGAAAAGTATTTCTCCAGTCATTATTTCCAGTAAGTTTAAAATAACGTCGTTATGGAGTTGTAAGATTAAAAAATTATAATGATAAAGACTAATATAATCTTACAATATATTAAAATTATAAAAATATCTTAATTTCTGTTCTAAAACGTCGTCGTTTTGAGCTCGCCGGAGATAATTTATCTTGGAGAAATCCTTTACCCTTAAAGGATTTGATAAAGATAAGGAAAGGGCATATTAAATGTCTGGATGCGTGTGATTGCTGAAATGTTATTAGATATAGTTTGAACCGAGAGGCAAGCCATTTTTATAAGATAGTTAGCGTCTTAATAATTTTTTTGGGTCTTAATTTTTTAACTAGCGGATGACGCACATCTTTGATTCACCGTCCATGTTTTCGTTGACCCAGAAAATAAAAGTATTCTCTCATATTGGTTCCATTTGAATTGTCCACGAAATTAATTCTCGTGGAAACATGGGGGATTATACCACATTTTCACAAGACTTACTTGTTCAAACTCCAGGTAGTTGATACTGTGCAAGTTTGATTGCTAGTAGGGATGAAAGTGGGCCGGATCGGTCTACAGGAACTTACGGCTTGGCCTACGTCAGGCCAGTTCTGATCTAGTATATTTCCTAAAACAGGTCAGGTTTGGACCTTGAAAAAGCTTGTTTAATAAAAAGGCCGTATGCTCATTTTCACAAGGTTTGGCCTATAAGTCTACAGGCTGACCTATATTGTATTATTTATTTTAAATAAAATAAAATAGAATAAGTATAATTTGAAGAAAAAACAAAAGATATAAATTTAATCAATTGCAATTATTTATAACTTAATTATATTCGATTATATTTTAATAGAAATCTGATTTTATTTCTTATGTAGGAGGAATCAACATCTCATCATGTTAGATTGAGATTTTATTTCTTATGTAGGAAGAATCAACATCTCATCATATTACAAGCATCATGATGTGTTTGTTGGATTCATGTAGTTATTTTAATTTACATAGTATGAATTTGTTTGTTGGATCTGATGAAATATATGTTATTTAGTTTGAACATTTTGCTTTTGAAATTGACTTAAATGCAGATTGTACGAGTTTTGTTGTGATTCAGTATTTTGTAAAGTTAATTCATGATTCTACTTGGAAGTTAAAAATTAACAGGCTAGACCAGGCCATTTGTTTTTTTATAAATGGGTCAAACCAGACTAATAGTTAGACTCATACTAAGCTTGAGCCAAGTCAAATTAAAATTTTTTGACGTGAGATTGAGCTTTTCGGTACAAAGCTTGGCTCAGCCCAGTCTACTTTCATCCCTAATTGCTAGAGCAAAAAGCAAAAAGGATCTGCTAATTGAAGGTGAATACAACCTCTCTGCCGTTTAACTCATTCTATGGTAATCCGACATTTAAAGTTTCTATTCCTTACTAAAGAGGAATGTTTCAAGCAGTGCATGCTTATTCTACTTCAGTAAAAATATTTAATTATGGAATTTAAAATAAGCTGTGCAACTGGCCCCTAAAGATTACTTGGTAATGTATATGATTAGTTCCGCATGCTTCCAATGCAATGGCCCAAAACAAAAATAGAGAAAAGCCTTCCATCAAGACAACACAACAAAACAGAGCACCTATTCGGGCATCTAACATACAAATGTTGAGTTCAGATTCAACGTAAACCATTGAGGAAAAGAAATGTTACAAAACCAAACATAAAAATAAGCCAAGGCACACCAAATTCTAATAAAACGTCCACTAAAATCATAAATGTATGATTCCAACATATCCCCAATTCCCCACTGTTTAGATTTATTGAAAAAAGTATCATTCAAAAGACTGCCTCAACAATAGCATGCTTCCTTTTAGGATATCCAATTCCAAGAATATGGTTTAAATACACCTTCCCATCTTTCACGGTTGCTGCTGTGGCCAAGCGATGTCTAGGCCCTGAGAATGTTGCCACAACAGAAGCTGTATTCCACCCATCTGAACTCTCCACTAACCTCGCAGAAGGATTCCCAGCAACTACCAACTTAGTAGAAGTTAGTAATTCTAAACCATCTCCAAAATAAAGGGGTCCTCCCTCTACCTTTATAATGTTCACTTCCTCTCCTTTTGTTAAATCAATCTTGAACAAGTTGCCACTGAATGTGTGAACCACTATAAGGAATCCATCTGGGTGGTAAACAATTCCATTTAGCCCAACCAAGTTATTGTACCAATCTTTTGGAGTAAAAAGTGGGCTTCTTATGATTGATAGAAGCTTCCCTTCCACCCCAACTTTCCAGATTTTATTGGCTTTTGCATCGCTGACATAAGCATTGCCTTCTGCATCAACTGCAACATCGTCTGCAAAAGATTTCTCATCGCCTGCATCCAATGGAAAAACATGACATTCTTAAAATAAACAATAGTTTCGTTGCAACTCGCGGGCAATTTCCAACAGCAAATTTAATAATGCATAATGTCACCACAATCAACCAGCTGTATCTAGGCTAACACAATTTGGAAGTTATACATTATTTAAGAGCCAACAATATAATAGGACATGTAATAATAGGACATCCAATAAGTCAATAACGGGTACTGGGGTTGGTATGTCCTTTCCCTTAGGTCTATTGGCATGCATAGTTCATAACTTCCTACATTGAGGTAACATGACAAACATCCGTATGTTCCCTTTCTTTTATTTCATGCCCACTGGAGTAGACTGGTGCATTTGCAGACATGTTTTGTGGCGTTGATATACATGTCAAACAACAAAATAGTAAATGAACAAACTAACTTGGAAGCGAACCAGCGAAAATATATATATATATATATATATATATATATATATATATCTTATCGTTTCACAAATTGTTTGAGATAATTTTATCTCCGGTTATTAAATTTTTACCTCACAAAAATGGATCAATGGTGGTAGTGATAAAGGAAGAGAGAGAAAAAGAGAATCATATCGATTCAAAGTTAATATAAAAAATAAATAAATAAAACGACGTAGTTTTGAAATTACCGGAGCAGCTTGAGAAATATTTTTCTCATATATATATATAATATATATATATATATGAAGTAGGATCCTTTGACACCTCATCTGAGAGCCATTAGATCAAAAAAATCAACAACTCTAATTTGCAAGCATGTGACACCATTGATCTTTTTTGATCTAACGATTATCAGATAAGATGTCAAATTTAAAATTTGACACTGGTGTCAAAGTATCCTACCTCTATATATATATATATATATATATATATATATATATATATATATATATTAAGTTTTATGCAGTTGTGTCGGAAAACAAATTGTCTGCCACACAAACCAAAAAATCGAGACCCACAAATTTATATATTTTTTTTTTGATAACATTAAGGGGCGAACCCCCAGACCCACAAATTTATTTAAAAAAAACAAAAACGAGAAACGATGTGAGAACGGTGACAGTAAGCTTTCTACAAAACAATCAAATAATTGCTATATATATATATATATATATATATATATATATATATATATATACACGTGAAAGTATTAAATGTAAAGAATCATAACTATATAAAAGATGAAAATAATAAATATGGAGAATCATAATCACACACCTGTCATTGTTGTCATCTCTGTACGTAAAACGATTGCAGAACTAATTTTATCATATATACAACATATATTTATGGGTTATATTTATCTCCTTTTATATGAGAAAAATAATTTTTCTCCACACACAAAAGAGGGATTGGTCCCACCACTTTTTTTTCTTTCTCCTCTTATCTATGGATCTCACTTGTAATTGTATTTCTACAACATAAGGTAACTATTTTTCTAAAATATAACAAAAGTATTTCTCAATATTTATATATATACGGTGCAGATTATATTTACAAATTTTTTATTTACAAACGTTTTCTTTACAAATTATACTATGTTTGACCTATGTGTGACCGGTCATACACTCTTGATTGAAGTCTAACTATTCATACTTTGTATAGTTTATAAATTTGTAAGAAAATAAGTTTGTAAATAATATTTTCCTTTATATATATATATATATATATATATATATATATATATATATATATATATTACCGTTTGAATGTCATACCTACCATTACCAAGCACCAACCATAACTTGTCCTGTGCAATGGTACTATGTAGCTTATTCCAAGCGGATTCCAAATGACTGTATTAGATTAATATTGGGTGGGTATGCACATCACACATCTTTAATAGCTTTATGGTTATTTTATCGAATAATTTCATACTTTACAAATAGCAATTATTTTTGTCCCTTTTACTGTAACAGTAGTTCAATAGCAATTACACCCTTTACATTTTATCTAGGTTCAATAAAAACTTCAAAGAAAAAAAAAAACCCACTACAACGTTTCCTTGTATTAAAAAATTTGAAAAAAGAATAACAACAAGCATGAAACGGTGAGCAATTCAACCATCTAGATATACGTAGAGCATATTTAAAAAAGTTTTCATGAAGCTAAAGGCAAAAAGTGAAGACCAAACGTGCAGTTCAAATATATTGTGGAATAAAAAATACGAATAAAGACATATCCCCAATCCCACGAGGAGATCGCACCTCGCAAACGAGCATCTTGCATCGTTCGGCTTTATACAAAGATTCCAAACCATATGCATCATTAAATTCCAAATGTCATTAAAGAATATTAAGATGTTAAGGGCTTTTTAAAATAAGAATCAAATAATATCTATTTAATTATTTATTTATGAATTTGATATTTGTCATTTTAAATTATATAGGTTAGACACAAAGAATACAAATCATGAAGAAAAAGTGAATAATTTTTTTTAATTTAAATTTTAAATAAAATAATAATATTTTATGTCTATCTCTCTCAAAATAAGATTATTTTATGTCATTTAAAAGAATAAATATTTTTTCTTTAAAAAAAGAAAAAGATAATAATTTACTCACTTTAGACCTAATTTCCGTTTAAAACTATACACTCTACTTTACACAGATATAACCATGAATCATTTCACTCTCGTAAAGAAGATACACCTTTATTTATTTATTTTGTCAATTCTCTCTATTTCTTTATCTATTCCTTACTCTCTCTTTAAATCACATAATTTTACACCCCTTTAAAATCACACCCATTTTTTCCAATATTTAGTTCAGATTATAAAAATAAAAAAAACATGTTGAGCTGCATATGTGAAGGACGAAAAAGATGGAGTTAAGTGCAGAAAAGCTTACTCGAACCGGTGAGTTGGGTAAGAAAGATGCGATTCCACGTGGAGAGATCATAGGCTGCAAGTGCACCATATCGATTTCCGAATACGTCAGCGTGAACCACTAGAACCCGATTTCCGGGTGTATCGATAACCATACCCAAAGATGCATTTCCTGACAAGTTTGGCTCTTTGACCACTGTTACCTCCTCCAATAATGTCACAGGCGATTTTTTATCTGTTACTGAAACCGAACCAACACCACCTTCGAAGAAAGACACAATAAAGCGGTGGTGAACAGGGTCCCACTTAGCGCATTCTCTGAACCAGCCAGTACTGTGGTAGTGATAGACATGAGTCGTGGGTTGTGCTCGTTCTAACGAGACGATGATGCCGACGGTTACGGCTGAGAGGAGTACAAGGAAGCCGAGAAATTTTGGAGAACAGAGCCACGAAAGGGCCATGGGAGAGAGTTTAGGTGATCGTGTGACAACAAAGTTTGAAAATTAAGGGGAACAGAACGAGGTACAAGTTTGATACTTAGAAGTTAGAAGTAGTAGGTAGAATTTGGTTGAGGGAGGGTGAGAATAGAAATTTCAAATTTATTGATTACTTAAATAAAATGCCAATGTTGGAAAATTTTGTCAGGTCAAATACGAAAGATATTTACTGATTAGTTAAAGGGATTTATTATTTTTATGTTGCATAAGAAATAATTTATTTTTTACACACACAAATTTAATATGGATCTCACTTTATTTTTATTTTTTATATTTGAAAGTGGATTCCACTTACATAAATGAGTCTTTAGGAGATAATAGTTATCTCTTACTCCACGAGAAAATTACTACCCTTACTTAAAAGGCTTTAATGTTTTTTATAACAAATGTATAAAAGTTATCTGCGTTTATTTTTAAAATAATGTTGTTTTGAGTTAAAAAATTAAAAAATTATAATAAAAAATACTACTATAATCTTAAAATAAATTATAATTATAAAAATACTTTAATTTCTGTCTCAAAACAATATTATTTTGGACTCAATATAAATAACTTATCTACGTTAATAAAAAAAACAACTGTTGCTTAAATATATTTATCTCTTGAAAGAAATAAATAATTACACTACTGAATTTGCGTATACAAATTTAGTATTATTTGTCTTACTTAAAAAGTATAGTTATATAAGGTAGCCTTTTTCTTTGTCTAGATTGTGTTTAATCACTCTAATCCAATTTGTGTTTTAATTCAATAGTGTAAAATAAACAATTTTAAATAGCTAAACATTAATTTGATCTTTATGTTATCTATATCAATTATAACTTTAATTTTTTTATTAACTATTTTTATTATTATAACTTTTTTCCTTTAAGAATAACTATTTTACTTTGTATCTTTTATCCTTTTATAATAATATTTCTATGATAAAAACACACCCCATATTAGAAGAATTAATTTATATTTGTCCTTTTACATGATACTAAATTATGTTATTTTAAATTATAGAAAAAATACACAATGAAAGTCATATAAGAAGAAATTGATTTATTTTTTTAATTTAAATTTTAAATAAAAAATATAAATTTTAACTAAAATAATCAACTTTTTTTGGGTAAACAAAATAACTATACTTTAAAGGAACAAACATTTTTTTCTTAGAATAAATAAATATTGGTAGCTCACAAAAAAAATTATTGGTAAAATTTGCAAGACAATATATTAATTTTGGAAAAATATTTTCTCATGTTACATTAGAATTCAATTCTCATGTGACCTTTCGATTTACGTGAAAAGCTTTTCTTTTCTTTCTTTTTTTCAATAAATATGGAGTCCACCCCTAGTTAAGTCACAACATGATAATTCAATTATCATACAACATAAGAAAATCAAATCCCATTATTTTACTACTAACAATGTAAAAATCAGAAACAGTAGCTAACCTTGTACGATGAAAAAGAAACAGTTTTCCAAAGTTAATTTAAAATTTATTAACAAGAAAAGGTCCTTAGATTTATAACCGCCCAAACGAAATTCTAGTTGGGCTTTAAGGGCCCAGATGACCCATAGCCTTTAAAGATACTAGATGGATACCCTTTCATTTGTCTCTGTTGTTAGAATAGTTGGATCTTTTGTGTTGAGATTTTTATGATGTTAGAATTTGTTGATGGGCTGGGCTTGCTTGTACTAGGTGCATTGCACCTGTGCTTGACACAGAATAATAGTATACATGTATTAGGTAAGTGTTTTATACTATGATGCACGGACACGGACACGGAATACTACATGACACGACACGTCGAGACGTTAATTTTAAAAAATGTCATATTTTGAAACATTGAGACACGTTTTGATATTAAATAAAATTTTAATATATATAATATAATTTATATTTAATACATATAAGAGTCCATAATAAGTCATATAACCAATCAAATATTTAAATTTCATAACATAAATATAAATATAAATATTTTTTCGTACTTTTTTAATTTTTCATGTCAAATTTCATAACAGAAAAAAATTAATTTATAAATTATTTCTTTTATATTTAGTTAACAAAATAAAATTAAGATTCAAAAAAAAAAACGTGTCCGAACGTTGATCGAGTGTCGAAAAAATTGACTGTGTCGAAAAAACGTGTCGGAACGTGTCAAAGAGTTGACCGCGTGTCCACAAATGTTGACCACATATCAGACGCGTGTCAGAGCATGTCCGAGTCGGACACGTGTCTGACATACAAAATTTCAAAAAAGTAGCGTGTCCGTGTTATATAGGTTTTATATCATAACATGACTATTATTCAGAACCTTATTAGTAAAATATATTCTCTGTTCTCCATTCCATTCAATCCCTAAATTTCAACACTAAAAAACTTTACAAATGCAAAGTTCGTTACTAGGAGTAAAAAAATATTGCTGAGCGCTATCTTGAATATGTAAATAGGCATCTGTTTGTCCTACAGTAAGCTTTTATAATTGGCTAGGATATCACATAACGGTCTTTCTACTAAAAGGCCTGGTATCGAAGTCTGACTAGACAAGAAATGTAAATCACGATGAATGTTCCTCATTTCAATGTGAGAATCTGGGGATTGCTTCTGAAGTGAAGACTCTTGACCCGATCCTGCACAATATTAAAGACGTTTGATAAAAGAGAAATTTTTTCATGTCAGAAAATCTTGATTTTGAGGAATATGATGGGAAAGTCACTTTTTCGAATTTATCAAAAAATTGTTTGGTATACTAAAATATTATCGGAATTTTGTTTCAATAAAAGTGTAAACAAATTTCAATACCTGGGGGATTCTATGAATACCACCAAAGGGGTGATATTCTTATATGGCATTTTGGAAGAAAAATTATACACAAAACTTAATTTGAAAAAAATCAAATTCCAAAAAAAAATTCCGAAATCTTATACTAAACGTGAATAAATAAGATTATTATTATCACTTTTCCGAAAATCTTAAAAAATTCTCTCTACCAAACACCCTTTAAAAGTCTTTTAAATATTTGGTTTATGTTTGCCCTCAAAAAAATGCTTGGATAAAGTGTGAATAGAGTCCATTTAAATGCCAATATAGAAGTGTTTTTTAACAAAAATTAAAGATATTTAAATTTTGAAAAAACTATTTAAAGGGAGAAGGAGAAGTCTCTATAAGGTCTAGTTCCACTCTCCTTGGTTGCCCCTTAGGATATTCTACTTTTGCAAGAAGGGAGGGGGAGGGGAGGGTGTAGGTGATATATACTATTATACATGCACGCAGCTAGCCAGCTGCTATGCACGTGCATGTAGAAGATAAAATTATATTAAAAAAATTTGTTTTTATTTTTGTCCCAATTGCCCTTGCCTTAATTAGATGTAGGTGAAACGTGTGGTTCACTCATTAGCTATCATGCATATGGGAACTAATTTTAATTCAAATATTATTTGGATTTTTCAAAATTGCCCCAGCGTTATTTGAAAAAATTCAAATTTGTCAATGGGTTCGCAACTGTTCTTTCTCAAATCATCACAATTTTTCCAGTGGCCAGGGCCAAAAAAAAAACTCAATCAATGTCAAAAGATTCACCGGGTAGAATTCTGCCAACGTGAAGGTTGTATTATTTTTAAAAACTCATCTAGTACTAACATTGTACCATAATTTTTTAAGAAAACTTGTACCATTTTTAAAAATTAGTTGGAGTCTAACATACAAGTGGCTTCGCCATTAAACTTTTCGTCGGTTCCCAACTGGCCACATGGCGATTGTTCCTGTGTCGTTTCACTTGCAGATCGATGTATTTTCGACCAATAGCGGACCTAAAATTTTTTTTAATGTCTGCACACTTAGACTAAAAGAATAAAGAAAAAAAAATTAAGAAAATTTTAAATATATTAAAATAAAAAAGAATATAAAAAAAGAAAAAAAAACTTTAACTTAATATAAAAAAAGTAATCATGAGTCAATTAAACTGTTACAATAGAATATTTTGGGTCCTCAACAAAAATTGCGGGCCTCAATTTAATCTCTTAGGAAAAAAAATCTACTTGTGATCCCTCAAAATTCAAAAATAGATCCAGATAATCAAAATTATGGTCCTCTAAAATTCAAAAAGACTCATATTAATTCCTCAAAAGGACTAACATGGGTCTATTTTAGAATTTAAAGGGATTACGAGTCGACTTTATTTTTAAGAGATTAAATTAGGTCATGTAATTTTTGTTAATGACCCAAAATATATTTTATTTTATTTTTCTCCAAAAACTGTGTGTGTGCACTTGCACACACAGAGGTTCGCCCTGTTTTCGACAATAATTCAATTTCTATAAATAAAGGGCTTTGCGGTAGTCATGTTACAGGAATTTCATTTTTATTCCTGCAAACACATACATATTTTTTTATTAAGTTATTTTTTTTTCAAAAAAAAATTTATATGGGTGGGTCCCACAAATATTGTGTCAGTGACATGATATAACATTTATCCTGTGATATGGTGCTTCTTTTACCCATAAATAAAACCCAATGGCTTTAGAAAATGGGTTTAACTTTTCTTATGTTGTAGGATTGTAGGAGAGAAAAAAAGTAGAGAGAAGTTAAATGTGGGTCCCATATTTTATATTAAAAAAGAAAAGAAGAATTATTTGGCACGGAAAACGAATTTGTGTAGGAAAATGAGAGTATCTCATATGGCATGAGAGTATTATTTCCCTTAGAAAATTCACTAATTTTTTATCCCACGTTCGATATTTTGCCAAAATTATTTTGTATTGTTTCATCACTTGTACGCTTTTTTAAGCATTCGATTGTGTGCCTCATTGTTCTTAATCGGTAGTGCCACCTTGCTTGAGATAAATTCATTCTACCGTGTGAGGTAACTGTCCACTGTTTTTTTACATTGGTGGACAGGACAAATTTACTTTGAGGGAATAACTTCAGTTGGGTTTAAATTTTTTGCATTTATTATCATTCACTTATTCCTTTATTACAAAATTTCATTTCTTTACTGTTCTGTTTTCGGATTCATCTACTTAGGTTCTTTGGTTCTCCAGCTTTGTTATATCTTTTACATACAGTGGCACTAACAATAATTTACTCAAAGTTCTCCACAAACGAAGAGTGTCTTAAAAACATTTTTTTTTCTCTATTTTTAATTTGTGAAAAATTAATAACTAAAAATTATGTTAGATAAAATAATTTATTTTTCTGTTTTAGAGAATAAATAAGTAATCCATTCAAAATATTTTGAGTAAATACTCTTTTTGGTTCTAAAAAAAAAACACAGAACCCATTTTAATCCTTTAAAAAAAATCAATTTGTAATCCCTCTAAAATTTCGATTCTTTGAAATTGTGATCTTTCAAAAATTCAAAAAAGCTCACATTAATCTCTGAAAAATGATTAATATGAATTCTTATTTTCTAAGAGATTAAAATAAGTTTTGTGTTTTTTATTGAGTACACAAAAGGATATTTACTCAAAAAAAATTTAATTTTTTTTTTCATGCATGAACATAAAAATTGAAAGAAAAGTTATATCTCTAAAAAATAGGCTACATAATAGAAATATAGAACGGATGTTTTTCACGCCCGGATTATATTAGATCATGTCGTCTGATCATTTTGTTTGTATTATTTTACGGCAAATATCAGAACATCTGGTTGGCTAAAATGTGAGAACGTGTTGATGGACGGCTGATATTTTCGCGTCCAAACAAACATTTTTCTAAAAGAGCACCGAAATATCAAAGATTTTTTTTATGACTATTACAACTTAGAAACACCACGAACACACGCAAAAACAAATAAGAGCTAGAAAATCATTTCATGTCCCCATAAAAATAAAATATCTTAACATAGGTTCAACGTGGAAGGTAACAATTGGTTGTGACCAGATAAGAAGCATGCGTACACAATTATATACCAGCTTTGGTTATATATCTTCTTCACATATCCTATCCCCTTATTAAATAAACCTCATCGTTATTACAACGCATAGTTACTCAAACCAAAGCATCCAAGAGAAGAAGAATAAAAAGAATGGCAACAATAGCAGGTGTGAGCCTTTCAAGCCCAAGGGTACTTGCCAAGGGATCAGACTCACCACAAAAGACCCAAGCCATCAAGTTCCCACCACTGTTCAGTCTCAGCCAAAGGCGGCCTACTATGGTCGGGTCGGGTCGGATGATGAGCATCCGACCCGTGCGCGCAGCACCGGAAGGCTTATCGGAGAAGGTGGAGGAGAGCATAAAGAACGCTGAGGAGACCTGCTCGGACAACGCTGCTAGCGGCGAATGCGTGGCGGCGTGGGATGAGGTGGAGGAGCTGAGCGCGGCGGCGAGCCACGAAAGGGAGAAGAAGAAGGGTTCTGACCCGCTTGAGGCCTTCTGCAAGGACAACCCGGAGACTGATGAGTGCCGCACCTATGATAACTGATACCAACGTTGTTTCAAATGTCTCGTTTAGCTTTCTGTTGTTGCTCTAGTTAAACAGACACCATGTTATTAATTAATTTTTATTTAAGCGTAATTCAATAATCCATACCAAGTAAACCAGTCATTATTATAGGTTCGTCCCTTCATGGTAACTTTTATTTGAAATCATAGTTGTTTTATCTATATTTGTTTAAATTCATAAAATATGCATCTATATATTTCTATCCATATTTGTTTTTAAATTTTATTTTTCTCATTGCATGAGACAAGCTGAGATCTACTAAAAAATAGAAAGAAAACAAAAAAAGTGAGCCTCATTCATCTTTTTATATGTTGCATGACACACTTTGTAAATAAAAATTATTATTTTATTTGTTTTATAAATCAACATGTAATTAACTACTTTAAAATACTTAAGCTTACAATTTCCATATACGGTTGCTTATAAATTTGGTGACTGGCAGTCCAATTCAACCGATTATGGATATTGATATTCATGTGCGTAGCAATTTTCATTGGTATAAAACTTATCCTCACAGTTATTTGAGGCTGTTTTTAATTTACATAATTCCTACCACACAACGTATTATTGATATGCTTGAGAATTTATTGTACCTCGTCTTTTGAGTTGGAGTTGAAATAAGTATAAGGGGGAATATTAGTCACGTGTGTAGGAGACTAGAATTTCATATTATAGACATAAAGCATATGAAATTTATTTATTTATTTTAAAAGAGTGGATTTTATATGTTTTGTGTTTATAACATGAGATAATTAATTTTTTATAACATGAAATTAGTATTTCACCAAGTATAAATAAAGATTATTTATGGTTAATCGTTAAGAATATTTAGTCCTCGAAATTAGTGTTATGAAAAGAAAACTGAGGATTTAAGAAAACATTTAAAATAAAAATGCATGCATATAATGTAAAAGTAAATTTATCCTTTAGATGAAGAAAAAAAAAAATCACAGCATTTGGTCAAATTGGTGAAGTAATTTGAGCATTTAAGAAAAATAAATTTGAATGTATTTTATTTTCGAAATCAGTTATATTGAAAGAAAAGTGAGCATTAGAAAGAAAAAAAAACAAATGTATGTATGTAAGCAAATTAACAGTTATATTAAAAACTTACCCATCATCATGGATGAAGTAATATACGCGGGCCCTACACATACCTTATTAAGGCATCATTTCACACAAATTAGGAGAATTCTGACTGTATGGTTTATTTACAAAGACTCACGCATTTTACACGGTAAATGTCAGCATCATTTGCATAACAGAAAGCATTTCAGTGTCAGCAACTTCATAAGCATATATGTTTAAGGGGTTTGTATCTATTAGTCACGTGACACAAAAAAAAATTCTACACACATAATATTTTATGAGATCTGTATTTTTTAAAACAAAAATAAAAATAAAAATTAAAGCACGTAAAATGAATCTCAATAATATTACACAATCACTTTTTTAAAGCAAACATAACTCTTGTAAAACCATATGTTTAATGTCACGTATGTTATGCTGGGCTAGCTGATTTGAAGTTCAAAACTTGTTTTCGTTTTTATTTGCTCCATTGACAGGTTTGCTACTTGGGTGTGTGTGCGCGTTTTTTATTGTTAGAATTCAATCCTGCCCTTTTGTATAATTTCCTTTCCTGCGGTTATTTGCGTAAGGGAGGGAGTGATGGGTTTTGTTTTTCTTTATAAATGTCTTTGCTATTTGTGTTAATGTAATTAAAATTGAGTTTCTACATAAAAACAGAAGGAGTGATAGAAATGAAACAGAACGTAAATTTTTTACTTAAAAGTCAAGATACAAAATTATATATATATGCGCAAGTAAAAAAAAATTCATATAAATCACTGCTCAAAATTTAATAAATAATTTCATATTAAAAAGATATAAGTCACATAACTATATAAGACATAAGTCCACAAACATTAAAAGAGAAAATTGAATTTAGAAAAATATAAAATAAGATTTTTTAAAAAATAAAATAAAAAAATTGAGTTTAAGTAAAAACGATAAAAAAATGTAAAAATTTGCGTATCTATCGCTTTTATGTTTCTACACGGCGTTCTTACCTGTTTATACTAAGGGTCATTTCTATTTACGTTTTAACATATTTTTACAATGTGCTTTTACCGTTTTTACATTTTTAAACTAATTTTTGACAACAATGCTCTATGTGTTAGCTCTCTAGCTTTTAAGTTATGGATATTTTATGTTCGGGCGAGTTGCCCGTTTAATCCATTATTGGATTAAGATTCTTTACTAATTTGAATCCACCACAAATAAGGATGGATTAAGATATGTTGACCTCATTGCGGGTAGAAATGTGTATGGATCGAACCGAATCGATTTTTTTTTGAAAAATCGAACCGAATTGATTTAAATGGTTAGGTTCGGAAGTGGTTCGGTTCAAATCAAAATTGGTTCGGTTCGGAAGTGATTCGGTTTGGTTCGGTTGGAAACGGTTCAGAACCGGTTTGAGTCGACCCTATTTTGAAAAGGAAAAAAATAAAAATTTAAAAAATAAAAAATAAAAATAAAAAATCAATTTGATTCCGTTTGAAAACATTTCGGTTCGGTTCGAAAATGGTTCGGTTCTTAAACTGGTTCTAAAACTGGTTCGGTTCATGAACTGGTTTTTTAAAAATCGGTTCGGTTCATGAACTGGTTTTTAAAAATCGATTATTTTAAGGACGATTCGGTTCATAGTTCGATTCAGTTTTTTGGTTATTTTGCACACCCCTAATTGCGGGACAAATTAACTCATTGGATTGGTTTTTTTTTTAATAAAAAAAAAATCAGATTTTTTATAGTTCTTTGGTCTTCATTTATTACTCTTTACATTTATGGGGATATAATTTTTCAAAAATTATCATACTCTTAGTATATAGATGGGTTGGCGACGCGGGATTGAAATTATGGGAGGAAGCGGAGTGATTTGTCTTATTTTGAGGCTGGTTAGAGGCTGACTGAATTATCTGTTTTGTCACCTCTAATTTTTCTTTCTACTACATAGTCAACACTATAAGTTTATGGGTTTTATAATTCTCATTTAACATGAGAATTCAAATTTTCCTACACACCCTTCGATTTCCGTGCTGACATGGGTCCTACATATAATTTTTTCTAACACCTGAGTCCCACGTGCTTTTTATCTCTACAACATGAGAATTGAATTCTCATTTAACATGAGAAAATCAATCCCCTAAGTTTATACTTCTCAATTTCTATTCTATTGCTGATTTTTATCAACCGCATCTCTCATGTTCTCCCCTATCAATGAAGAAATGTTTGTATGTTTGGATATTGTTTTGTTTGCAGGGGCTTATTAAAGAAGTCTAATATAAAACTACTATAGTAGTTGAGCTTTTAGGTGAGATAATTATTTAATATAGTAATAGAACTTAAGGTATTAGGTCAAATTGATTGCATTATATGATATTACTGTCTCCATTCTTTTAATAAATATTTAATTGTGAATCTTCTTAGCACAAATAAATAAATTATATATTGTTCATCCTAAGTTTAATAAACTCTTATACAAGATATATGTTAAATAAAACAGTCAACCATTTAAACTTTTAGTTGAGATAGTAATTTAATAACGCCGAACATAATTCATAAGGCCCACTTAATATGATCTCCCACTTCGAAAGGATTAGTCTTCGGCTCCCGGCGGAAGAATACCTTGGAAAACCAAAAAAAAAACATAATTCATAAGGAATAGGAAGAGAACATATTTACAGTTAATTATCAAAAATATTTTATCCTCTAAATTAAAAGCGTGAAAAGAAAATTGAGAATTTATGAAAAAATTAGAGGGTTTATTTTTTTTTGCAGTTACTGCATATAAATTATATACAGTAAGTTCAATACGACGTTGTTTTGAGGCGAAAATCATGGTATTTTTGTAATTTTAATTTATTTCAGGATTTTATAGTTTTTATAATTATAATTTTTTTAATATTTTAATCTCAAAAAAATATCACTTTAAGAGTAAATGCAAATAATTTATCTGCATTAACTCAGAAATATTTTTCTGAAAATTAAATGCAGATAATGCAAAAATAAATTTACTGTTAGATTTAAAACACACAGCAGTTTAATCAGAGTGGTGAAATGATATGAGCATTTAAGGGGGAAAAACGTATTTTATCATCAAAACCAGTTACATTAAAAGAAGGGGAAAACAAATATTATGTTGTAGGAAAAATTCTTAAGTCATGTCATAGAGATAACTAATTGTGGGATCTATTATTTTTAAAATTAAAAAAGTAAAAGAATTGATGGGTCTACTTTTATGTTTGTGTAGAAAAATTATTTGTGTCATGTAAAAGAAGAAAAATATTACGCTTAGAAAAAAAAACTGAGCACTAAAAAAATACATGTAAATAATATGAGTAAATTCATAAATAATAATAAATAAATAAATAACTCATCATAGATGAAGTGATACGCGGGCACTATAAATTCCTTAAGATATGGTATCATTTGGATTCTGACTTTTTATTTTTTTTAAATCTTTTTGCTCAATAATATGTTACGCAAATACATATTCGGTCGTTAATAATGGGCGGCTGTCGGAAGCGCTTAGTGGTTTGGAACTTTGGAGGTCATATTTTATGATGTACGAACACTGACACGGGATATGAGATACGGGACACGACACGTTAATTCCAAAAAATAACATATTTTGACACGTCATGACACGTTTTGATATTAAATAATATTTTTAACATATATAATATAATTTATATTTAATAGATATAACAGTCCATAGTAAGTCATATAACCAATCAAATATTCAAATTTCATAAGATAAATATAAACCAAAATAATTTTTCGTACCTTGTTAATTTTTCATGTCAAATTTCATAACAGAAAAAAATTGATTTATAAATGATTTTTTTTATTTTTAGTTACTAAAATAAAAATAAGAATAAAAAAAAAATAACGTGTCCGAGAGTATCCGAGCGTTGACCACGTGTTCGAAAAAGTTGACTGCGAGTCGGAAAAACTTGTCGGAAAGTTAACCACGTGTCCCAAAATATTGACCGCGTGTCGGACGCGCTCGGACACGGGTCCGACACGCATAATTCCAAAAAAATGACGAGTCCGTGTTTTATAGGTCCTATCCATGAGTTCGAGCATATATTTTTCTCAATGGATTACAAAAAAGGGGAAGAGTGGCCATTTTTTCCACACTT